CGAAAAACCTTAGGGGGGTTTGCATCAACCCCCCCTGTGCCGGCGAGGCTCCCATTCTGGGTGATCGTAAGCTCAGCGTGGTGGTCTGTCTCCTGGGACGGGAAAGACTAGTGTGGGCTACCAGAGGCTGACGTGGGTCCAGCTTCAGAAGCTGGCATTTACCATCAGAGCTCGGCACCTGACGCTCATAAGCCGGCGGGGCCCATTAGAAACCGATGTGGTTCGTAAACAAAAATAAAACTGCTAAGATAAGGTCAACGTTCAGGTCATTCGAGGGCATCAATTGTCCATTTCGCTCGATTATTCTCAGAAAATATTTGATTTCAACGTTTTAACCCTCGCCGGACCTATTGGTTTTCTACATACGCGCCGAAGGTGTTTCGCCGCTACTGCTTCTATTGAAGGTGTTTCGCCGCTACTGCGTATCAAGGCGGCCGTTCCAGCATAGCGATCCTGAGCGCACCGTTAAAGCTGTTCCACTAGCACCGGCAAAATTACCCCGCATTGCCACTCTGAAAAGTTTTGTCTACAAAGCCGTTATGGCTTTGCGGAAATACAACATGAAATTACTCTTGAACACGCTGAACATCCTAAGCAATGGGACCACAATTTCAAAATTTGTCTACAGCCCGAATTCTACATGCCAGGCATATAATTTTTCGAACGGAAGTAAAAGTTACCATTTTCTAATCAAATTTATGTTTTACTGATTTTGAAGAAAATTACGAAGGGGTGATTTTTGAAAAAAAAAATTCCACGGACTCCTCATTTTATGTTGACCGCAGTACAAGATACGTTTAAGATTTTCTTTAAACATCGAAATATAAAAACTAAACAATTTAATACAATGTGGCCGTTTTCACGACGGAATAGCAGGCATCTATTTAATCCCCATTTGATCCTTTGGTTCCTCAGGAATTTTAGAAGTTCTTTTTAGTAGGTTCCCCAGCTTTCGAATGAATGGTGCGTTAGTTTGCTATTTTTCTATTAAATATCACATCGATTTACTTTATCTAAGGATTTATCACTAATATCAACATAAAGCGTAAGCACAATTATAGAATTATGAAATTATTAAATACTAGTACAATAGTTAAAAAAAGATACTGAGTTGCCAGGCTACAAAGAATATATTCATTTATGGCGCACGACAGACATTTAGAAAGCAGCGCCCTGTTTTATTGCACGCTGCTAGCCGCTTCCATTGGGTTTTGCAGGCCGACGTCATTGGTCGTTACACGTATGATGTCACGCGACTTGTGGCCTGTCACGGCTCTTTAATGATCTCCACTAAATGAATGCAACAATGGCCTTTTAAGTTGATCTCTGTGGCCATCTGTCTATGGAGCGACCAATATGAAAGTTGGGTGAATTTACCGGGGTTACATGACTATGAGCAAGCAAATGTGTATCAGGAATGGATTTAGGTGGAGAATTGCGCTGGACCATGAGTGCTCGAACGCTCCCAATTCCACGCCGGTTTGGCTTTGGAGCCGAGACAGACGATGCGGGTCAAGGTCACCGCTGGGGTAACGGTGGATTGGCTGCGCCCGAGCACCCGTAACGCGGCACAATTCTCCATCTATGGGTTTTCCTATTCGCTCAGCATTGTGATAGGCGATCGTAATAGCATTTACTCTGCTCATGTACCTATCCCCGGTTATTTAAAAGAAGTTTTTGTGGGGGAATATCACGGCTTTAGGTACTCGGTGGCCCTATTCACGACTTTCAAAGAATGCTCCGATAACTAAACACCGCACAGACCTACTGCATTAGTGAATCTGACAGAAGGTCTGTGGAATTACATCCCCCCTCACCACACCCCTAAAAACTCATCCAGTGTCCAAAACCACTTTTATCGACTCGCCAAAAAAAAAAAAAACAACACACACACACATACACACACAAAGCATGGGGCATGTCAGCTCTCAGTTCATTTATCATTGTCTTTACCATGGTTCAATTGCATTGCGCGATTTAAAGCACGTGAGTGCCTATATAGTATATATGTAGAAAATAATATCTACAGCAAAACATCCAAAATTACAAAGGCTACAATGCTTAAAAAGTAGGTTCATCAAGGAAGCCCATTTTTACTTGCGTTGTGTTCCCAACCATGCGATTCCAACGCGGGCTATTCGCAACGTCTGTCAAGGCACGTTAACAACTGACAAGCCGCCACCGCTGCCACTTATTCATAGATGGTTGATATCGCAGCTTGGGCATCAGCAGCGCGGCCCACAACGCGTCGGCGCCAGCGCACGCAGCTGTTGGCACTCGGCAACCGGTGTTGCGACTTAACGGCCGGCCGGCCCCATGAAGGAGAAGCTCTTGGTGAAGCTTTGTGATCGCCTTATAGCCGCCTTGGATGTCATCTTTCTTGGCAGATCCATCCGTTCAGATGGTACGGTGCAGTCTGGATAAAGGACGAAGTCCAACGCCGCTAACCCCGCGACCGCCACCCCACAACGTGGCCGCAGACCGAACGGGCGTGAGGGCCGAAAGGGCCACCCCGCCATCCGGTAGGTGGCTGAGCAGCCGGGCGCAGCGGCGCCTGGGCGGCGGCCGCGCTGAGATGAAGTCCCAAACCGCCATGTCGCCATCACCGCCATCACCATTGCTGCAGCTGTTCCCAACCGCCTCAATCGCCGCCGTTTTGCCAGCAGTCGCGCCGCGGAATGGCAGAAGCTCCAGAGTAGCCTCCAGCGCCCCTCTCCGCACGTGTGCAGGTGCACTGCGGCCGCCGGGCCCGACGTCCAGGCAGAACATGATATTTCCATGCTGCTCCGACGGTGGGCTGGTCTTGTTTGGGCGTTCCTCCACTGTGACGTCGGTCACGCCTGCCCCGGCCAGGGCGCAGAGGCCGACGTGTCACCATCCGGTTGCAGTCCTCAGTCGGGTCGCAACGTGTACCTCTTCCGCAGCGTGGAGCGCGCTCCCGCTGGGCAGCGATACAGCCAAAAGTAGCATAGCATGCGGGCGGCCAGCGCTGCGCCGGACAGCGGACCCATGCCGGGGGTATGCCGGTCTCGGCCATTAGCGGGGTCGTCGGGGCCGAGGTTGTACATACAGCTGGTGACCGCGTGAGCCGCCAATCGAAGCTCACGGCTTATAAGCTCGACGCGGGCATCACACGCCGTCCCGATGGGAGCTCCACGACGCCGCCGCGAACTCCAGCGCGGCTCGCAGCGCGAAGACCAGTACGGACGGCCGGGGCAAACGGCGTGCGGGAGTCGCAGGCGACGTTCTGCGGACAGAAAGGGTTGGGCATAAGCTGGTCGGCAGGACACTCTTGAGCCGAGCCTTTGATGTAATTACAGATGATCCAGAAGCATGCACAAAAATTCATGACACACTATTCTCATTTATGTATTTGCTACATATGATATGATATACCAGCTCATGATCAGTGACGCATTCTGGGCAATATGTTCTAAAGTGAAGTAACTGAAGTTACAGCTTAAAAGCTTTAAAAAAAAAACAGCTTAAAAAACACACACACATTCGATAGCTTATGAGAATAACATGCCTTGTGTGCTTAATGCAGGAAAATATTTTTTCACTTTTTTAGAAACAGCAAAAGAGTTGTCAACAAGCCATGTCAACTATCTAAACAATTTTTATGGAAACTGCTCTAGCTAGCTTAAAGTTCCACAACGTTTCCGGAGCACCGTACCCAAACTCAGTTCATGTTACAAGAAAAAACAGTAATAATGCCTCCTAATTTTGAATGAAATATAGGTATGAGTAATTTGATTTGGAAAGCAACAAATTTTCGCACATCATTTTTGCAAAATTACTATTTTCTTCAGCCATCAGGTTACACAAAACTATAGTAAACTTTATGATCTAGTTTACACAAAACCAAAGCCCCGATTTTAACAAATGTAGATAAAATTTAAACAATTTTAAAAAATGTATCGTGGAGAAAATGAAAAGTGTAGATTTGTAAAGCCGGGATATTTCAATTTCACGGATTAGGCACTTAAAGAAATATCTTCACCTTTCTTTGAGCCACCAGCCTTCACCCAAGTTTTACACGAATGTAGTGAAGCAGACAATGTGGCAACTCAAAATTGTGATGGTTTGAGATAATTATGACGGTAAAAGAAAAAGCAACACAAGGTTCCTTACCCTCGTTTTTTTTCACAGGAATTAGATACCTGAAGGTAATTATCTGCCGTAATTATTTTTGTTTCATTGTTTTGCGTGTTTTCTTATATGAAATGTAATTAAAAAATTTGTCATATTTTAATCACCATTAAAACATAACTAATAGGTATAAAAGAGAACTCGATATATACTTTCCTTGTTTTTAAGAATTCCGGAATTAGATACCCGAGGGAGCAAAGAGGGAGCAAGTTGCCACGCTGATTTAATACCTCATAGTCGAAAGGTGGGCTACTAGAACCAAAAATTGCTGTGTTTGTAAATAAATAAGTGATTTGAGGGCAAAAAATGCCCGGATTTAAACTTCTAAAATTATTTTGAACATAAAATATTTCAGTTTGAGGGATGTTAAGGCCTCTAAGGGTAGGTACTTTTTAGGTAGGTATCAAATAAGTTCTTCTGCGAAAGTTCCGTCGTGAAAACGGCCTGTACGTATAAAATTGTCAATCAAATGAATACCGATGTGCTGAAAGCAGGAGGCCACGCCAGTATTTAGTTAAAATTGCCGTAAGCCAAGGTGCTTTATTTGGTTTCCATGGTTACTGACGCTATTACGCTTGCATTTCGCGAGCAGAGAAGCTGAAACAGATTCAACTTTTCAGCTTGCAAATCGCGCCGGACTGATTTTGCTTTTGTATTGCTGTGCGAGACAGTTTACAGTTCACGATAAAAAAAGACCGTTCTGGTTTTTAACAACACCTTACACCCAATATCACAAATCACGATAGGCCGCTGGCTAGAGTTGTCCGTGCAGAATGTGCGCCGGCCGGTGCGACTACACAGGGCCCGAGCGGGTGACGATCGCAGGCTCCTCTCCCGTGACTGGATGACTAGACGTGGGTCGAGCCGGAGCGGTGTTTCGAGCCGGCCAGCTCAAAGAACAGCACGTATGCCGTTCCGCTGTTGACGTTTCTCTGATCCATCACGTGGACCCGCGAGTCGTTGTACTCGTACCACTCTGCCGTGTACGGGTGTCGGCAGTAAGCGGTGTAATGTCCTGAGAGCAGCGTGCCAGAGTGGTTCGCCACGCCGTATAGGCTGTACCGGCAGGGCGTCTGTCCGGCCGAGTAGGGCGACAGGTCCAGACCGTTCATCGAAAAGTCGACAGTGGTGTTCAGCTTTCCGCCGAACCTCTCCTGAGTAGAGAACCGCTTCAGGTGCACCACGAGGATGCGCGGGAACTTCTGGATCGAGAGGCTCCTGGTGCACTTTTGACGCTTCTGGCACTTTGAGCAGGTCGGTTTTTCGTCGCCATCGAGCACCTCCTCTTTGGTGAACAGGTCAAAACAGGCCTGTAGGCTGGCAAGGCTGATTTTGCTTGCGTTTCGCTCGCGATTTGCTCGCGTTTTCCGAGCAGGATCCGGCGTGATTTCGCGGCGTAGAAGCGAGACGACCTGCGTGTTTGGAGCTGAAAATATGCCATGTATTGCAATGGGAAAAGCGAGACGCGATTTGCGAGCTTAAAAGCTGTGTTCCGGCCTTGACTCGGCTACCTCACGTTACCGGGGCCCTGGCTTTGGGCGCGGTCTACCGCACCACCTAACAGGCGTGTTCGAAACCGCAGGAGCTGATGATGAACGGGTTTATCGAAACTTGATTGGATGAGCATATCGGTAATAGCGATTTCAGTGTGTGCATTTATTGTTCATAGTGGTGTGAAATGTGGTTGGGGTACAACCGACAACCCGTCGGGGCGAATTTCGCACTGGGGTACTCAAAATTTGAAGAATTTAAGACGTTTCCATGAGTTTTGAAGGTATGGATAAGTTCTAAAAATCCGGTTCTCCTTATCTGGGCCATTAACTCCATACGGTCCAGGAAAGCTGGCACACTACCTTTAACCCGCGCACCGACGGGGGGGCGGATATCCGCCCCCCCCCCCCTGAGGTTTTTCGCGAATAGCGGGAAAACCGCGGCGCGTAGCGCCGCGAAATTTGGTATGACTATAAGCTCATCAATTTTACACATGGTGTGCAAGTTTGAACCTCCTACCTTTTAAGGTCAGGTCACCAGGTCACTTTGAATGACCCAACCTCAAGTCACTTTTTTGCAACTTTGTCACCGTGCCAGAGCTACAGTAGATGTAGGAGGCCTTTGAAAGTCGCAGGATATTATAAGGTCATTAGTAGCTACAATTTGTATATCTCGGAATTTTGATATCGGTGACCTAAGGTCAGGTCAATTTCGCGACCTCCCCATTATAAGTCAATGGGGGAAAAATCAACTCCCTGTTTTTACCACTAAAACGGGTCGGAATGGCCCCATATACCATACATGACTTCATATACGATCAACCTTCACTACCTTGAGGTCTGTTTTGCTGTTGGGCAGCTGTGAGGTCATGTGACGTCATCAAAGGTCACCAAAGGTTTTTGGCCCATAACTCAGTACAGGAACAAGATACAGACGCGTGGTTAGTCTCATTGTGTTCAGCTCGTCAAGACGCATCGAATGATATACATGATGACCTCGAGGTCACGTGACCTGAGGTCAACCTGTCGCGGAAAAAAAACGAGCGTGTGCGCCGTTACGAGACGCAGAGATTGATACCAAATTTTCAGATCCTAGGTCAACCGGTGACCTCTGATGTCAGGTCAAGTGCCCTAAGGCACGGTTCCGTTTTTGGTGAATAACTTCGCAAAAAATGGCCGCAGAGCCGCGATTTTGGTAGCATCGTGTTCGCCTCGCTCAGGCGCGTGGAAGGATATACTTTTTGTTTGGATGGGGTCAATTTATATTTTGAATTTTATTAAATATAATTTTCACAATTTCAAAATTTTGAAAGTCCGAGATAGCCTTTTGATAGCGCGGTCTATTCTGATTCCTCTCATGGAAAGAAATGGGATCTAGTTAAAAAACTAAGCTCTTTGAGGCGATTGCCGTGGTTCAATGTTTTGCGTCGAAATCGGCCGAACATGACGTCACTCTGGCGTCATTTCCGGCCAACCTATGGTAGCTACGAAGTTCATATTTTGACACAAGGTGTCAAATTGATGCAGCCGAAGGAACTGAAAAGTTTGGCGTTGATACGTCAAGCGGTTTGGAAGGTATTGCAGAAAAACGGGAGGGGCTATGAATAGCCCCCCCCCCCCAAGTGGGGCGCGGGTTAAGAACGCGCCACTATGCGTTTTTGAGAACATAGTTCCTAGTCACGCACACGTATTACGAATACCCGTCACGACCCCTATCGGTTGACCTGACCTGACCTGACCCGACCTGGTCTAAATGCTTGAAGACATCATCTCTGATCAAAACTAACACGATATTCGTGATGAGCACCCCTGAAAACCCCAGAGCAGCCACACTTCACGACTTTCTAACAGGCCCCGATTTTCCCGATGTTCGGGTCATTGACCTGACCTGGAAGGTCACCCGATGACCTAGGACCTTAAAACTGGATATCATCGGCTTCCTCTCGTGACGGGCAGCACGCTCGTTTTTTCCGTGAAGCTCTAGCTCGATCAGGGGCCAAACGCGAGGGGAGGGGGTCGTACAACCCCCCTTGTGCCGTCGAAGGACGCAAAATGGCCTGTGCCGGCGAGGCTTGTTTTTCCCTTTTGACACGTTACCAGTGAGCGACTCATGAATTTTGTCCGTAGAGTTATGAAGATAAATGTTCAGTGGCTGACATAAGCGCTAAGCTGTCCTTCGTTGTCCCCTAATTTATTCCCTATCACACGAGTCAAAATTAAGGGATGCGCCTTGCCCCGGTCTACCCTATGAACACCTCTTATCTCTTATCTCTTGTCTATGAATATTTCTGAAAGTTCTGGGAACGAACGAAAACAGTAGCTGTAAAGGAGTTACATTACTCTCTAAAAAATTTATGACTCCCTTATAATCTTAACCCTCGCCCATGTAGGGGGGGGGGGTTGGTGCAACCCCCCCCCCCTGAGGCTTTTCGGAAATAGTGCAAAAACGGCGGCGCCCGCCAAATTTTTGGTACCTTATGGGGCAAACCTTGCGCATCTTTTGATAAAAAAAATTGACCGGGTCATGTCAGGTCACGGAGTTATGACGTCACAAAGGGAACAGCCTCCGGCCGGATTTTCACAAACTGAGTGCCAACGCCCGAGGTTTCCTGCCGGTGGTACGGACATCGGTTGATGGATCGTGATGAAACTTCCCATGCATGTTGGGGCAAGTATTGGCTATCATATGGTATAAGAAACTTGACCGGGTCAGGTCAGGTCACGGAGCTATGACGTCACAAGAGGAACAGCGTCCGGTACTATTTTTGAAAAGCGCCCGAACCACTATTTTGCTAATTCTTGTCACCTCAATGGGAATATGCAGCAATATTAGCTTCTATAGGGAGCAAACGGACCTCCCAAATCCAAAAATACAATCAGATTTCAAAAATTTAAATTTTGATTCTTCGAATTTCTGCCGCCGACTGTGACCTTGCCGACTTCCGGCGCTCCCAACGCGCCATTTTTAGAGCTAGGGAAACGAAATACATACCAAACGATAGAGAATTGATCAAGGAACACGATAGTGAAGGTTTCAAGTCGATATCTCCCACCGTTTTGCCGCAATCGCCGCGGAAAGTTGAAAAAAGTCTATTTTTCCGAAAATTTGACCTTTGACCGGTCAAAAGTAGGTCAAATGTTGACCTAGGACCAAAAAATATACCACCAATCGCGAGATCTCGGCGAGAGCAATCCGTTGGTCTTTTCCGCTAAGCTCTACGACGCTCCGTTTTCAAACGCCAAGGGGGGGGGGGTCGCACCAACCCCCCCCCCCCTGCATGGGTGAAGGTGGCAGATCGCCGTTTACGGGCGAGGGATATGTACAGTATATCTAAAAAGTATGTCCCCTGGTTTGGCTCTCCCACAGGAGGCGAATCGGTAACTTGGCTGAATCCCAGTTGCGGCACCCGGCCGCCAGGGTCGCTGCTGCGCGAGCGGCCTTGACCGCTCGCATGTCATTGGCAGTTCGGTCCCTCCCCATCTATACCGAGGTGGGGAGGGGAGAAGAGGGGAGGGAGCGGCATCCGCTCGGCACTGGGCGATACCTGGCTGACCCCGCGCTCCCTCGCTGACCTTTGTCCTGCCCTCAGGCGAAGACCGACTGCCTGTAGCGGCCCAGCGGAAAACCGAGCTCGCGGGGCGCGACTCCATTGGCCCAATCTTATAAATGGAATGCTGTCGTATTCACGGCATTAGATAATATTAATAGTGATACCAGCAGTGGATGTGGTAAAATACAGTCCAAAACAAACGAAAGCACACGATTCGTGCATAATGCGCCCTCCCATTCAAATAAGCCCGCCCACTTCGATAGATGGTGTAGTTTCTTAGGGCGTAAAAGATGCAAAACACTACCGATTTTTTTTTTCAGCTCGGCCACTGGGACCGACAATATACAGGGTGTTCCAAAAAAGTGAGCCCCCTAACTAAGATCGACTGTATCTCCGCAACCGTGTATCCTACAGCTTTGGAAAGCCGCTCATTAGAAAGAGCAATCGAATTCCATCCAGATAGGTCGTAATTCTGTTACATAGCTTGCACAACACGACCAGCATTGTGAAAAGCACAATTCAATACCAAATTCTTAGTGAAATATTTAGCGGTAACGGATATGGTTAAATTTTCTTCACATCTGACTGCATATTTCAGTTCACGTGCTTTTATTCATTCTTCGCGCGTGAACTTTTATCATAAAAAAATGAAGACTGAATGGATGACCTAGTTCAACCAGTATTTTGACCACTCCAATATCGGTCGTGCGTTGCCGTCAGCAATACACGTTTACCGCCGTCGCCGTGTTTCACCCGATCTCGCAACACATTTTGTTCTGGTCGTTCTCGGTGTAATACGTAATCATTCAGAGCCACACTAGGTAGCCTAATAGGTTCTAATAGAACCGAAATTGGCCGATCTTTCCAACAAGGGGTCTTTCATTATCGTAAGACATACGGTTTTGGAGATAAAAGCAATAATAGTTAGGGGGCATACCGCCGTCGCCAAGTTTCACTCGATCTCGCAACACATTTTGTTCTGGTCGTTCTCGGTGTAATACGTGATCATTCAGAACCACACTAGGTAGCCTACTAAAACCGATATTGACCGTTCTTTCCAACAAGGGGTCTCTCATTATCGTAGGACATACGGTTTCCGAGATAAAAGCAATATAAGTTAGGGGGCTCACTTTTTTTGGAACACCCTGTACAATTGACTGAAATGCATGAAAACCATTTTGCATTTAGGTAATAGCTGTTTTCTGCACCCAAACGTTAGCCAGTGACGCCCTGTCCATTCTAAAGCGTTTATAAGATTGGTCCCAGCACCCGATTTTATATGAGGAAGTCGTTTAAAAAGCATCTTATTTCTAACGAATTTATTATTATGGCCACTTTTACAGGACGTCTATAGAGCATTGACTTTTACATTTCTTCCTCGTCCAGGAGCAACGTTTTAACCCTCACCGGACCTTCAGGTTTTCTGAATACCGAGAGGGCGTTGGGGGTTGGAAGTGAGGAAACAACCCCTTTCGCCGATTCGCCCCTAATTGAGCTAGAGCCTCACGAAAGAAACGACTGTGTGCGTCGTTACGAAATGCAGCGAAAGGTCTCCGATTTAAGAACCAGGGTCAGCCGATGACTTCGGAGGTCAGTTCAAGTGGCCCAAGGCACAGGTTCGGTTTTTGGTAAATAACTTCGCTAAAAATGATCGCAGATCCGCGATTTTAGCAGCATCGTGTTTGTCTAGCTCAGGCGTGTCGAATGGTATACTTTTTCTTCGGGTGAGATCAACTTAAGGTGTTAACCTCGGGCCAAGGTCAGGTCACAGCCCGTCAGGTCACGAAGCTGGTTAAAGGAGGTCATATTGCATATCAATCGATTCGGCAGGTCTTTTCATGTCCATTAGTGGCTTTATCGACTCGGTAGCTTTAGTTGATCGGGAGTTATTGACGAAAAACTGATAGCCTTAGTTACGTGATAAATGACGTCACGCAAGATCAACAAAGCAAAATTGAAGCATCAGACCTTGCAAGGAGCGCATGAAATCACGATTCCGTGTGCTTGAGAATTTGAGATAGTTGTATATCATTTCCGGACCAAACTAGCAATTTCCATATTCCCCTGACCACAGATAACAGTAGTACTACTGTTATCTGTGCCCTGACTTTTAATGGTGAGAGACCGACCTGATCTCATGCGACCCTTCAGAAAATCCGAGATATACATTTATACAAGTTGTGAGACCTCTCCACTAGAGATTGCAATCCCGGAACGTTTTGCCAATCCCGGGATCCCGAAAGTTTTTATTTCGGGATCCCGGGATCCCGGGATCCCGGTCTTGTCACTAAATGTCGTAAGAGTGATTTCCTACTGACATATTTTGCGTCTTTTAGCTTACCACAAACAAAGAGGCAACCAAAAGCCATCCTTAGACCATGTCATTTGCATAAAAAACGATTGAATTTGCGAATAAAACGTTTCAATTTGATTAGCATTAGCATTTATTCCCAATTGGCCTTCATAAAACTGTGCGTCGACCGGTACGCTTACTAGACGGGTTCCAGCACATCCACGCCTCACTCACTCTTCGTCTACGCTACTGGTAGTTAACGCGACAGTTTCAAGCCATTGCCATGCTGGTATTAAAAACTCGCAACCAGTGTACGCCAAATTTGGCAGCTCCCTATTTCACAATGTTTTCAAAACGTCGCTTGGTCACTTTACCTCCTTCCGGTTCCGCTTTCATCATTAAGGTCTCTCAGAATTTGCTCGAAAGTCGCTTTGAGAGCAGATTCACTGACTGGGAGAACTCCACTCTACAGTCTTCAACGTCTGAATCAGTGAGCTCTGCCGTCACTTGCGTGACATCTGTGCCATCTTTCTGCGACACGAGCTCAAAGACTGTCTTGATGACCTCCTTTGTTCCGGCCACGGACGGGCAAGTCAGAATCGCTGAACGATCTGTGATCCTGATAAAGATGTTGCAGCGCTGATGCTGCAATTTTTTTTTTTTTTTTTTTGGCGTTCGGGACCCTTTTTCGTACGTATTTAAGCGGCTTAACCGCTGTGGGTGATACCCGAGAGCTACCAACACGGTCGATTGTGGACGGGAAATACGGGGTTCCAGCTAAGTAGTTTATCTGCTTAATGTCACGCAGCACCATAAACAGTGCAAACAAGACTCGTGCAGCGGCTGCATTCTTTTTAAGGTGAAAAACTGATTCTTTTCGGGATCCCGGGATTGGCGGAATTTCGGGATCGGGATCGGGATTAAAATCCTGCCGGGATCCCGGGATCCCGATCCCGGGATTGCAATCTAGTCTACTCTCGACCATACGTCTATAAGATCCTGTAAGCTTTATCTCCCTATAAAAGCTCTGCACTGAGGGTGTTGCGAAGTTGGAACATTTTAGGACTGTGCACACAGTCCTAAAATGCTCCTTTTAGGACATTTTTGGACAGTTCCACATAGTTCATTTTAGGACTGCTCATTTATGACGTCATAGATCAGTGACCTGACTTGACTTAAAATGCGGTTGGCGTAAAAAAATCCGACTTATCAAATCCCGACTAAAAAAATCGACTTATTATCCGGTTAATCAAATCCCGACCATGTTTTTACCTGGCCATTAACCCGCGCCCCGCTGGGGGTCCTGGATTTCCACGCCCTGCTGGGGGGGGGTGTTTGAACACCCCCCCTTGTAACTCGGCTCCTGGGCCACGTAGCGATACGCGGAAGGCGGCGTTCGAAAGAGCGTAAAAAATAATGACGAAATCACATCGGTCATTTTTTGGGTCAGGTCAAAGGTCAGGTCACCAGAGGTCATTGAAGGCAAAATTTCGCCGATTTCCAGGTCGAATGTTGACAATTTCCAAGAAACCAACGCATAACTCGGGAACCAATAGAGCTACAGCGCCGCGGAAAAGCGCATTCGATATCCCTATTAACACCCTTTCTGAGAAATTGTCTCAGAGTTGACCTAACGTCAACGGTTTTGCCTGCAGGGGGCAAAAACTGCAAAAATAGCCGATTTTTTCGGAAACAGTTTTTCTGCAATAACTTTTGACCCAAGCCTTGTACGAGCTTACTTTAACCGGCATCGTGTTCCTCTCGTCAAGACGCATCGAATGAACTATAACTTGACCTTGAAAGGTCAACTTGTAAATTTGACCTCAGGTCAAGGTCATGACCTGACCGGAAAGGGTCATATTGCATATCAGTCGATCCGTATCGTCGAGCTGAACACATCTAAGGCGTTTTCATCGCTCTAGTATGCCTCTATCAAAAGTTATTTGCGAAAAACTGTTAGATACCATTCGTGACCTAAGATGACCTCAGGGCATAAACAAGGGTCACGGACACCATTTTCATGTTCAGTGTATCTAAACCACTTGTAATTCGGTGTTTGGGAGTGTTTGTTATGTCTTTCATCCAAAAGAGGCTCATTTCAATTTTCTCCCATTGACTTATATGGGGAGGTCGCAAAATTGACCTGACCTTAGGTCATCGATATCAAAATTCTGAGATATACATTTTGTACATGCTATTACTCTTAGCAATCGCTGAAAGTTTCAAAGCGATCGATCACTCGGTGTAGCTATGAAGGACATTGAAACTTTTTATGAGGTGAGGTCACTTCAAGTGACCTGGTGACCTGACCTTGAATGACCTTGGTCTGAAATTTTCACACAACATGTGTAGAATTGATGTATGATAAGGTGTACCAAAAACGGCGGCGCGGAGCGCCGCCGTTTTTGAGATATTTGCGAAAAACCACAAGGGTGTGTGTGTTCAAACACCCCCCCCCCCCAGCAGGGCGCTGGTTAATGTTCTAGCCTTACAGGTGATTGTTTGAACGCGGAAGATGCTGAATCTTGGTTAACCCCATACTTATCGTATGATAAAGAACGTCAGTGTTAGAAAGTGAATTAACAATTTTATTTAGGATAGTTTAATTCAAGTGGGTATAATCCGACTTGACAATTTACTAGGAGGGTTTTGCAGCGCTATTAGTTCGGCATGTAATTATAAATCATTGCTAATTTCGATCCGGATATCGTTATTCAATGCTGGCCTTTGCGTCCTCAAAAAAGTTGTTTATAGTCATGAAGGCTTGCATTGACCCATACTTTCCACTTTTCAGCACCATTATTCGCCGTAGTTGACGAGGTGTTTTTCTTCAGCTCTCCCCTGAATCCTTTGGCTTAGACCTGGCGTATCACCCGTGCATCGCAAGACGCACCTACCACACACAAGTTCATGATCCCCACGAACCCACATCAGCGTCCGTTCGCTTGGTGTGTGACCCCTTGGCCCTTGACCTTTGGCCGCGACAACTGCCAGCTTGCCGGAGCACCCCTCCCTACACGCGCTGCCCCGCCCGCTCCCCTCCCCCCCCCCCGGGGTCGTGTCACGAAGGTTCGGGCTTACGCTACTACCGGCCGCTGCGCAGCTGTCACCTAGCGCTTGGGAATGTGTGGTCTGGTGCGGATTCAGCCAACTACCGGCTCGCGACACCAGCGCCACGTAGAAGCGACGGTACATTCTTTTTAGACATACTGTACAGTATGTATGCGAGCCGGTAGTTGGCTGAATCCGCACCAGGCCACACATTCCCAAGCGCTAGGTGACAGCTGCGCAGCGGCCGGTAGTAGCGTAAGCCCGAACCTTCGTGACACGACCCCGGGGGGGGAGGGAGAGAGGGAGGGGAGCGGGCGGGGCAGCGCGTGCAGGGAGGGGTGCTCCGGCAAGCTGGCAGCTGTCGCGGCCAAAGGTCAAGGGGTCACACACCAAGCGAACGGACGCTGATGTGGGTTCGTGGGGATCGTGAAGTTGTGTGTGGTAGGTGCGTCTTGCGATGCACGGGTGATACGCCATGGGTCTAAGCCAAATGATTCGGGAGAGAGCTGAAGAAAAATACCTGGTCAACTACGGCGAATAATGGTGCTGAAAAATGGAAAGTATGGGTCAATGCAAGCCTTCATGACTATAAACTTTTCTGAGGGCGCAAAGGCCAGCATTGAATAACGACATCCGGATCGAAATTAGCAATGATTTATAATTACATGCCGAAGTCGTTTACATCGTTTCTTTGCGCTGCAAAACCCACCTAGTAAATTGTCAAGTCGGATTCATACCGACTTGAATTAAACTATCTTAAATTAAATTGTATATAAGATCTCTATGCTTTGACCAGCTTCGTGACCTGACGGGCTGTGACCTGACCTTAACCCGAGGTTAACACCTTAACTTGATCTCACCCGAAGAAAAAGTATACCATTCGACACGCCTGAGCTAGACAAACACGATGCTCCTAAAATCGCGGATCTGCGATCATGTTTAGCGAAGTTATTTACCAAAAACCGAACCTGTGCCTTGGGCCACTTGACCTAACCTCAGAAGTCATCGGCTGATCCTAGTCCTTAGAATCGGAGACCAATCGCTGCATTTCGTAACGACGCGCACGATCGTTTCTTTCGTGAGCTCATTAAGGGGCGAATCGGCAAAGGGGGTTGTTACCTCACTTCCAACCCCCCAACGCCCCCTCGGTATTCAGAAAACCTGAAGGTCCGGTGAGGGTTAAAACGTTGCTCCTGAACGAGGAAGAAATGTAAAAGTCAAAGCTATATAGACGTTCTGTAAAAGTGGCCATAATAAATAAATTGGTTAGAGATAAGATGCTTTTTAAACGACTTCCTCATATAAAATCGGGTGCTGGGACCAATCTTATAAACGCTTTAGAATGGACAGGACGTCACTGGCTAAAGTTTGGGTGCAGGAAACGGCTATTAAATGCATAATGGTTTTCATGCATTTCAGTCAATTGTATATTGACGGTCCCAGTGGCCGAGCTAAAAAAAGTTTGGTAGTGTTTTGCATCTTTTACGCCCTAAGAAACTACACCATCTATTGAAGTGGGCGGGCTTATTTGAATGGGAGGGCGCATTATGCGTCAATCGTGTGCTTTCGTTTGTTTTGGACTGTATTTTACGACATCCACTGCTGGTATCACTATTAATATTATCTAATGCCGTGAATACGACAGCATTCCATTTATAAGATTGGGCCAATGGAGTCGCGCCCTGCGAGCTCGGTTTTCCGCTGGGCCGCTACGGGCCGAGGAAGTCGGTCTTCGCCTGAGGGCAGGACGGAGGTCAGCGAGGGAGCGCGGGGTCAGCCAGGTATCGCCCAGTGTCGAGCGGATGCCGCTCCCTCCCCTCTCTTCCCCTCTTCTCCCCTCTCTTCTCCTCTTCTCCCCTCCCCATCTCTGTATAGATGGGGAGGGACCGAACTGCCAATGACATGCGAGCGGTCAAGGCCGCTCGCGCGGCAGCGACCCTGGCGGCCGGGTGCCGCAACTGGGATTCAGCCAAGTTACCGATTCGCCTCCTGTGGGAGAGCCAAACCAGGGGACATACTTTTTAGACATACTGTACGTGTTTGGCTCAAAACGTTCAATTTAACCCTGCAGGCGGTGGGCCTTCCGGCCACCTTTTCTCCGAAACTACTGGACGGATCCGGAAAATTCAAACGGTGTTCGATAGCCCTGTCAAATTTGTCGAGCGAAACCAAATTTCATTGACCTCGGGGTCACCGATGACGTCACAGGTCAGGTCAAAGATAAAATGTTTCACCGTTCACGGGGCTTCTAGGGAAAGCGCTATAACACCGAGTAAAACGCATTTTGTCGAAAATCAGCGATAGGGCGTCAGTTGTCTAGTACATATGTTGCTATTAGAGGTCACTGGTCATACCAGGTCAGGTCACAGGTCAGGTCACCAAAGGTCACCACATGAACCCAACTTTACTAAGGTTGTGCGATACATGTTTTATGGCCAGTTTTTCATTTCCAACTCAATGGTGTTGGTTATAAGACAATCAGGTACGGTTTAGGTCACTTTCTGGGGGAGGTCAGGTCAAGGTCAGGGCAAAAAGGTCAAATTTCAAAGTTGATATTTTTGCATAAAATGGGTATTGATTCGATGCAGCTCGTCACGGGGAGTCTAATGGTGATCTTTGTTTTGCGATACGAGGTCTATAATTGCTAAAAATTGAGTTTGAAAATTTGACGTCATCAATTTTGAACAGCTTTTTCGCTATAACTTGGCCAAAAAAAAGAGGTATCGATCTCAAATTTGGTATGTAGATAGAAGGCGGTACGGACTATCACATATATTCCGTTTTTTCGAAATTCAAAAAACTGTTTGGATTTTTCGGCTATTATATTCAAAAAATATATTTTTTTTATTTTTGGGGGTCAAAATCCAAAAAATTCGAAGAACCGAAATAGCAGTTTGTAGCCCTCTTAATTCCACACCTTTTATGTTAGGTAAAACATTTTTTCTGTATCTCTAAAGCTGTAGGCCTGACAGCTCTTCCCGCGAAACCTTTTTTTGGGTCGAAAATGGCAGAAATGACGTCACTCTGACGTCATTAGCGGCCAACCTATCCTATCATAGCCTTTGGAAAAAATTTGGTCACCATGTGCGCTAGCTACTCCCGGGAGGGTACTGAAAGTTTGGTGACGATCGGCGCAGCGGTTCTCGAGATATATCGAAAAAACTAAAGGGGGGGGGGGGCAAAAAAATGCCCCCCCCCCCCACCGCCTGGAAGGTTAAGAAATGCATGTATCATGGTCGTGAAGTAGTCACGAGAAATTGCCAAGGTTCAGTTCAAGATTTTGGAAAATGCGGAACGATAATCAATACCTAATCGAAGATAGTCATTTGATTGATCAAGGTATTGGCATGGTCTAATGGCGTTTACGGCATGTCTGTATGTCTATCCTGTGATTTTATATGATTTTTTGAACATATGCCGTTTTTCGTCGAAAACTCAGAAATCATGACGTCACTAAAACCTCGATATCTCAAAAAAATTTTCGACCGATTTTTTGAAACTTTGTCACAATAACCTTCAATCAATTCCCTACAGGTACCCAAAATTTAGCGCTTTTTCGCGGCGCTGTAGCTCTATTGGTTCCCGAGCAATGTGTCGCTGTTTCGAAAAATGTTGAAATGGGCAGTATTTTACCTTTCATGACCTTTGGTGACCTGAACTTTGATCTGACCCAAAAAATGACCGAAGCGTTTTTGTCCTTATTTTTGACGTTCTTTCAAATGCCGCATACCGCATGCCATTTCGTTGTCCAGGAACATAGTTCGAGGGGGATGTTAAACCCCAAGCAGGGCGTGGAAATCCAGGACCCCCAGCGGGGCGCGGGTTACCGTAAGGTTCGGCTCCAGTCGCTGAGTTTGAGGGCAGGGCAGTCTTGGATAATGGTTGGCGGGGTAGTTCGAAAACGGAAAAAGCATGTGTTATCGAGTACCTACCACGTGTATTATGCAAAACCAGCTTTAGGTGACCAGAAGACTCATAGTTTCTCGTAGCACAGCGATGCACTCAACATCCGAATAGCAAAATATACACTTAACACTATAGGCACTTCACACGCAAACGCCTTATTCTTACAACTGGGAATGACTAATCAATGCAATTCTATCAGGGAACATGCTGACAAGCGAGTATCAGAAGTCTCATAGAGACCATTAGTAAAACCACATCAGCATTTCTCTGATGGCAGAAAATGCACAACTGCACTGAAGCAGCGACCAAAAACACACAACCTCTGATGTCAAAAACCGTAAGGCGCGATAGACTTTGACCTAACGTGAGTAGTTGTCAGAAATGAATTACCACGAAACAAACAGGGAGGGAAAGAGCAAACGGCACCATGATTATCTTGATATTGGCCTCGGAATGCAAAATCTGAGCGTTAAGGCACGTTACATATAACTTAGCTGATCAAAACATCGTTCGTAAAAATTCAATGGTAAATTGTAAACACCGTCACACCTGTATCGCCCAGAGCTCCTGACTGTCACACCTGTATCGCCCAGAGCTCCTGACTGTCACACCTGTATCGCCCAGAGCTCCTGACTGTCACGCCTGTATCGCCCAGAGCTCCTGACTGTCACACCTGTATCGCCCAGAGCTATTGACTGTCACACCTGTATCGCCCAGAGCTCCTGACTGTCACACCTGTATCGCCCAGAGCTCCTGACTGTCACACCTGTATCGCCGAGTGCCCCTGACTGTCACACCTGTATAGCGAGGTGCATAGCCCACTGGCTGCGGCTTCCCATCGGAGGCCGGTCATGGAGACGGCAGCGGTCAGCTGTGGTGCTGCTCTGGTGGCCGTCCACCGTCGCCCTCAGGCGGCCGTGCGCGGCTCACCCGCTCACCGCCACCTCAGCGAGCACCGCCGCCTCATGCCCCACTCGTACACGCGCCGCGCGAACGGCTGCTGCTGCGAGTCGTGGCCCTTCACTGGCTTCAGCGGAGGCGCGGCCGGAGGGTGGCGCTCTGGCTGGCCGGCCGGCCGGACCGGTGCGGCTGCCGGCTCCCTCAGCTGCACGTGCAGAGTCAGCTGGCGGTGCTCCACGTCGAGCCCGGCCAGCACCAGGCTGTCGGCGACGGGCTCCGGCTCCGAGTCGCAGTAGATGTCCAACTGGCCGGTCAGACAGACAGCGCAGGTCAGACGCCATACACCCACGGCACACTGCGATACACCCACGGCCACTGCGATACACCCACGGCCACTGCGATACACCCACGGCACACTGCGATACACCCACGGCACACTGCCATACACCCACGACACACTGCCATACACCCACGGCACACTGCCATACACCCACGGCACACTGCGATACACCCACGGCACACTGCGATACACCCACGGCACACTGCGATACACCCACGGCCACTGCGATACACCCACGGCACACTGCCATACACCCACGGCACACTGCGATACACCCACGGCACACTGCGACACACCCACGGCACACTGCAATACACCCACGGCCACTGCGATACACCCACGGCACACTGCGATACACCCACGGCACACTGCGATACACCCACGGCACACTGCGATACACCCACGGCCACTGCGATACACCCACGGCACACTGCAATACACCCACGGCACACTGCGATACACCCGTCACCCACGGCACACTGCGATACAGCCACGGCACATACTGTGACACACTGTGGGGCCGTGGACACACTGTGACTCACACTGTGATTCATACTGTGGGCACACTGTGACTCACACTGTGGGAACACTGTGACACACTGTAACACATTGTCACACACTGTGACACTTAGGTGCAAGACATGCAGCTCTGCCACAGCTGCAGGGTGAAAACGCCACATGGTTTCTGCGGTTCGGCCGTTTAACAGGCCGGGCCTGTCGCAGTCCTGGACCCCCGTGCTGCAGCCCAGACAGGCCGGCCATTTCCCGGGCAGGGTCAGACCTCTGGCGAGGGTGCGGCGCACGGCCAACCCAGCCACGCCTGCAGGCCAAACGACGCCCGCCTGTGTCAACTGGGACTTGGTAGCGGCAATGAAATTACATACGGGAACATCCTCCCCATCCGGAGTGTGACCGGAGCGCTGCGCTCGGTCGGTACCCGTGGCGCCCGCTGGCCGTCCTTTGCCTGCCGTCGCGCCGGGGCGGCGCGGTGGAGCTGGGCCCGCTACGTGTCCGACTGACACGCAGCCCCAGCCGTGGCGCCGAGTCGCCGATGGCGTGACACTGTCTGGACGGACAGCGCCCGGCCCTGCAGCGACAAATATGGCGCAGCCGGCCGGCGAGGCTGCCTATGGGCCTGTTCCAGCGCCTCCAGAAGAAATTCTTGACTGGAGGCTCTACCAGAGGTTTTACTGGAGGCGCTGGAACGCAATCTGGAGATTTCTGGAGATTGGCGTCATAGATACCAAAAGAATGACGATTGTTCTCTCTTGAAACGCAAAATTTGTTTTCAATTTTAGTTAAAAAGATAAATAAAATTATAGCAATGTAATTTTCTTTACATTCAAGTTGTAAAATAATCAGTCAAATGTCCTTTGTTTACATTCGTGATTGTCACATGTGCACCATAATTGTAGACCAGAGCCTCCAGAGAAATTTGGACCTCTCAACTCTCTGGAGGCTACTGGAGGTTTCTGGAGCTTTGGCGAGAGCTTTCTGGAGCTTTCTGGAGGCGCTGGAACGCTCTCTGGAGGATTCTAGAGCTTTCTGGAGCTTTCTGGAGGTTTCTGGAGGCGCTGGAACAGGCCCTATATCGGAGGCGGCTCCGCCGGCTAACGGCACTCTCATCTCTAAAATAGCCGCGTAACACTAAATCTGCCTGAACAAAAAATGCATTAGAAGCAGTCTAGTATGCAAAGTGACGGTAATGCCCGGGCTATAGGCCCCTGGTGACAGTGGTGCCCGGGTTATAGGCCCCCTGGTGACGGTGGTGGCCGGGTTATAGGCCCCTGGTGACAGTGGTGCTAGGACACCTCAGTGACCCTACGGTCGCTGTGCTCTGCGTCGACAGCATAATAACCTACACATAATCTATCAACTGTAACCTCGTATCGTAATCTATCAATTTGAATTCATTTTGTACGAAAAGACAATATTTTCAGTAAGAGAGCGGACACACCTCTCTGGCTGTCTGCTGGAGAAGGCAAAAGCATCTTCCATCTCGCCCGAGGTCGGGTCCAGGGAAGGGCCCGTCGGCCGGGGTCGGATAGGGCCCGCCGGCCGGGGTCGGGAAGGGCCCGCCGGCCGGGGTCGGGCTGTCCTCCATATCACCCTGCTCCTCTCGTTTCGCCAAGAGAAATTTGCCAGACGGGGCCGGACGCACGCGCGCGCGTGTGACATCACTCGTCCTCGATCGCGTCGATAGCTCGCGGGAAACTGGGACGCCGCGCGGCGCCCGCCAACGCACGTGCGTGGATCGTGCGCGCCCGGCCGGCTGGCGCGCGTGCGCGTCAGCCCGCTGCCGACTGGTCTCCGGCAGACACGCGCCGCTGTCCCCAGACGCAGGGCAGAAGCGTGCAGTGCATGGCCAGGGACGCACAGACCAGGCGGCGTATATCGAAATCTAGTACGAAAATATGCTGTGTTATCTTGACAGTGCTCTCTTCATACTGCATGCATGAGACCAGACACACCGTCAACCATTAGCTGGCGTGAGGTGACCTATGCGTGTGAATACACGTGAGCTAGATAGGTAGGCCTACGATACCGTGTGTTACTTGCCCGTCTTTTGCGACTAGCTGGTTGCCGTAGCGAGCATCGGGGCACCGGGGTACCGTGCCCCCCTTTATTTTGCCATTTTAACATTAGCCCTATGGGCATTGCATGGAAAGAATGGGGTCAAAAGTTGGCAGTGCCCCCCCCCCCCCCCTCCCCTTACTTGAAGGTGTTCCTCCGCTACTGAGTAATTGTCTAATATCTCAAAAGGCGGTAAATATTTTTCGGTGAAATTTGGTACATAATCATTTTGCTCGCTCTGAACCATGCGACACCAGTATGCCAATTCATTAACTTTCTTGAAGGTGGGAGGACGGGTGCCTTTACCGCCGCACCGCGTGCCGGCCGCCCTTCAGGCCGGCTATGCGCCGCGGCTGGCCCGTCTCAGAGGGGCACCGGAGGTCCGCCGCCGCCCAGACGCGACTTTTTGCGGCCGCTCGGGCGCTCCGTTCGTGCTGTGTTACGCGGCCGTTTACATTGGGCGGCGGCCGCGGTCTGTGCTACTGCTATCCGCGGCTCTGCAGATGCACCCGCGGCGCTCCGGTCAGCTGCAAACGTCCCGCGCCTGCCGTCCCCAGCTCAGCCGCTTCAGAACTGCTGATCCGTCACTGACAGTGCGCGTCATGCCACTGCGTGGCGCTGAGGTCACGGGCCCGCGCTCGGCGGCCGCGTGTGACCTTGCCGGGCCGGCCGGCGCCGAGTGACGCGGCTGTGCCGCCGCGGACGGCGCGGCGCGCATCTGGTCCTCCGCCGTCCGAGTGGCCCCGCTTGACAGTCGAGGACGGCCCCCGGTCACCGCGGCGGCCGACAGCACCCGCCTCGGCACCATACGACACTGAATTGGGCAGCACTGACCCAAGTTCAGCTGCACGAAACCGCTATTAGAAAAGTAGCTTTTCAGTCCATCGTATACTGACAGTCGGTGCCTCCCACGCTTCGTTGAGTCAGATACGCATTTGCAAACACCGGTATCACCGCAAGTACATGTTGCCAAAGGCCGGGAATAGAAAAGTACGACATTTACTCAGATGGAGCTCTGGTGCCGAGAGCGGTGACACATCGCGGCCCGAGGTCACATCGCGTCACCGCCCCAAATAGCGGGCGGGCCGGCGGGCCGGCCGGCGGGACGGGACGCGCGCTGGGGCCGGGCGGCTCGGACGCTGACGCGGAGACAGGGGGCCCTGCCAGCTCCGCAGGGCGCGCTGCCGCTGCTGGGGCGGCAGGACCTGATCGCCACCGCAGCGTCACAGAGCAGCTGGGGCTGCACGATCCCGAGATTCAGCTCACTCGTGTGCCAATCGACATCATGGTCGGTCGCATGGCTCTGTGGCGGACCGATAGCAAGGAGACGACAAATACCACACTGATCTAAGCGCGACAGTTTCATATTGTCGACGAGAACACGCAAACTAATGGTTAAGCATCGACCATAACTACCACAGCTATCGAGCCAGGCTGCGTATTAGGTACTACAAACTCATTCAACCCAAAGAAATCGATGCCTGCTCCGAATTCCTCACGGCTAAGCCGTGAAGGTAAACACTGCACAGCGTGGTGCCCGTGTTATTCAGTCATGGAATGTCGAGGTAACGAGTCATGGAATGTCGAGACGCATTCCTGAACTGGCAGTGCCTGCAGCCGCGGCAGCGGTGATCCTGTCAGGTGCTCAGCGTGTCCGCCAGGCCCGCGACACCCAGTCCAGTACGTCGTGCCCCGCCGGGACTGGCAGCCCTTCGCTCGGGACCCCGGGAATCCCCGTCCCCCTCCCACCCCCCCCCCCCCCTCTCTCTCTCTCTCTCTCTCTCTCTCTCTCTCTCTCCCTTCCGGGAAGCCGAGTAGCCTGCGTCCCGCGGGGCAGCCGATGGTTTCCGGCCAGGTGCGCAGGACCAGGGACGCCCGGTAACATAGCGAGTCTTTTTAGCCAGCTGACTCAGACCCCTGGACCGAAACATAGGTATCCCTCGCCAGGCCAGGGGGCTCAGTGCACCCCCCCCCTAAGATTTTCCTAGATAACGTAAAAGCGGCTCGCGTAGCCCTGCCAAAAATTGAATACCCTATTGCGGATCCTTATATCACATTCCCTAAAAATTTAGTCAGGCATTTCAGGTCAGATAACAAGGTCACCAAAACCAGTAGATAGTTATAGTGAGGCAGGGGTAGCCAGTAACAGTTGGTAGCATTAGGCCAAATGGGCGCTCAAAAACTACTACCCCATAGGGTTTGCATGTTAAATCGACCTTTTTCAAGCGAGCCCCACACGTAAGCTAAAAGATAAATTGCCAATATTATTGTGGGGAAAGGTAGCCTAAAGCTTCCTCTTCAACCTTTTTATCTAGCGTTTTTCGATGCGGAGGCCATAACAGGTCCAAAAAGCATTGGGCGCTGCCCGAGGTACCAAAAGCCCCTCCATGAGGGCACTAGTTCCTGCGCATGCGCACATTGCCTCAACCCTGTACTAGCGTAAGTTAGCGATACTGCTCACGGACTCGATCAGCCAATGAGCGTCCCCGATTACCTTAGTAGATGTCGCTAGCATCACGCAAATCCTGCTTGCGAACACATTTTAAGAATGAAACAGCTGCGCCACTTCCGCCTTCCATAGATTCCTTCCATCTTAGTATCAACTATAGGCTTTTCAACTAACTTTATTCTAAGTTTTAAACTATGGTTAGTATGTTATTTCTGGTTCATATAATTTAAAAATAACTGCTTTATGAATTTGGCTTTACTCGTCATAATGGAATACTCTATTTATTCCATATTCAAAAAATATATCACCTTCCATGTAACTCATCCAGGTAAAATGGGCGCTTTCCGCGTCGTTGGTGTACCCGTTGTTCTATATACCCTGATAGTGAGGGTAAAGTTTGAGTAGGTAATTTAGCGGCATCGGAGTGACTACGTTTTTTCACAGATAGCGCAAAAAACGATAATGGCACGATAATGGTAGGGTAGCCTGGGGCAAGACGCCCCAGATAATTTATTTTGCTACATAAATTTTGTCCCACATCACCTGGAAGGCCAAATCAGTGCTCAATGCGTTCTTTGGACATTTTACTTTAAATTGCACCCCTCAAATTCATTCACTTATGATCGGACTCCAAGCTAGGAAGTGATTTGTGAAGCAACTGCAAATGGGGCATTTTGCCCCAACCCCAGGGCAAAACGCCCCACGGCCTGGGGCAAGTAGCCCCATACTTTAGATTAAAGATTTAACATGGTAGTTGGCTAAATCTTATGTGAGAGGTCCGTTAGACCTCTGGAGGCACGGCACTGAAGTTAGCACATTCCATCCTGTCAGGTGTTCAGCTATGACACTATTATATGAGCAGGTTTTTCACCTACCTCATAAGACCAAATAATAAATTATTGCAATGCGAATGTTAACAAAATACTTCCTTTGCCATCCAGTTGCTGAGAAAAATACACATAAAGGCATAGAAACTTACTGTTCGCCAGCTACCGAACATTAGAAAGTGGGTAGCCCGAACAATACATGAGGTAAAACGCCCCAGGGGCTTTTTGCCCCGCGACCTACTGGGGCGTTTTACCCCATCACGTAGTTCGGTCAGAGAACAACGCCTTGCACTCCAGCAAGACATAATTTAACACGAACCAACCCGGCATGATAAGCGTTAGACAATAGTTGTTCAAAATACATAAATGTCGTTAACCTGATGTGGACCATAAAAGAACGCCATGATACATAATCTGACAACAAAACATAAAAATCACTCCAAAAACACATCTTTGGCTATATCTCCCGAAAGAGTCATCACAATTTCTTTCCAGTCTGCTCATATAATGATCATATAGTGCACGTTTTATAGAAGAGATGATGTTTCCCCAGAACTCTGCCAGCTCCGAGAAACATCGGTGAGGCGTTTTACCTCGGCGGGGCGACTTGCCCCGGTCTACCCTACAAACCAAATTTCGGACGCTCATTGGGAACATATTTGGCACATAGTTATCCTGATAATGTTGTGTCCCAGTGACCTCTGGACGGGTCACAAGGCCATGAAAGCCGGTTCATCGTCAAAATAGCACTGCAATAACACTTATCTTTCTACACCTAAAACGCAAAATTTTACATCAACTTTGATTCAAACTTTAGGATGTGTTAAAGGCGATAAAAAGGTTCATAATCAAGGCGATATCCTATCAATAGGTCAATATATACCTATCAATAGGCGATAATACAAGGATGTACTAAGCTGATCAAGTGTCATGCCTATTCGGTCCCGTTTTTACTTTTTCTTTTCAAGTTCACTTGACGTGTGTTTATATAGTTGTCATTATATCTTATAACCTAAATTTGCGAATGACCCCAGCTGAGAAAATATTACAGATATTCGCTCCATTTTAATTCTTTCTTTTACGTTGCAATTCCTCACCTTATAAAAACATGTAACTTATCAGTCCATCGCATTTTGAAGGTCCAGGGAATCGTTTCGTTGGCTTGGATGCGCATTTATTGTTGACCCAGTTGACCTCAGCTCATGTTACCAAATGCCTTGAAGTGTCAACAGCGTGCGGCGATTTATTGGGGCCAATGCGAACTAACCTTTAGCCCGCCGCGCGTCTAGTCCGTTTCAGTTAGTTTATTTGCTCGACAGGGATGCTGTGCGCATTGGGCCTGCCTGCCTGATCGCTGGCAGCGGCGTGTATCTAACGATAGGTCCGTTCAGCGGGGCGACTGGGGTCCGCCGGGGTCCGGGGGTCCCGGGGGTCCTCCCGCGACTGGGGTCCGCCGGGGTCCGGGGTCCTCCCGCGGCTGGGGTCCGCCGGGGTCCGGGGTCCTCCCGCGGCTGGGGTCCGCCGGGGTCCGGGGTCCTCCCGCGGCTGGGGTCCGCCGGGGTCCGGGGTCCTCCCGCGGCTGGGGTCCGCCGGGGTCCGGGGGTCCTCCGCCACTGCCACATTCCCTGGGCGCTCAGTGACGCTGCTCACGGGTCGCGGGCCTGTCAGCGGCGGCGTATGGGCGAGGCGGCGGCGGCAGGCCTTGTGGCAGACCAGATACCGCTCGCGGGCCGCTCCACTCAAGGTCTTCACCTCATCGCTTGAGGACCGATAGCCGCTAGATTAGGGGACATCATTGGTGGCCGACCCACCCGGGCATGAATCGCCGGGGCCAAGGGGCCCAGACGGGGAGCCGACCTGGCGCCGCGCGGTCGCCTGGCTGACCGCTCGACAGCGACAGCGCGCGGACCGCGGTGCGCACCGATCAGGGCGGACCACTGCGCTGCAGGGCCGATCGGACCCAGCGGCCGGCCGGCCGCACATGGAACGGACGCCACTCACTCTCGGCCGGGAGCGGGCCCGCGGAAGAAGGCACACCGCGCCTGAGCGCGTCCACAGACGAGGCCGGAGGCCAGCTGCCGCGCGCCTATCGCACAGCATCCGCCAGCGCCTTCCGCGGGAAGTACGGTCAGACATACAGCCAAATCAGCACCGCAGTACGGCGGGCAGCAATGCTGGCTCAGCAGCACGACACGCATCCAGCACCAACCGTCAGCGGAGTGACCTGTCCGCGGAGTGACCCGTCAGCGGGGTGACCCGTCCGCGGGGTGACCCGTCAGCGGGGTGACCCGTCAGCGGAGTGACCCGTCCGCGTCAGTACCGACGCAGAAACGAATGTCTGATTTAGAGATTCAATTGCGTACAACCATCCTGGTATGGCTGCCAATGCAAAAGCGATAGGCGATACCAACTTCGTATTAAGCATTTCAAGCCTGGTTTTTGGCATTTCGTTGATTTTATGAAGCCTCAGTAATACACTACCTGCCCCGAGTCTACTATTTTCTCTTATCGAACCCAGCACATTTGATTGGCTCGGCAATTCGTCTTTTCCGATGGTTTTGGTTGGTATTTAATTGAGTAGGCATCGATCTTCCGATAATTTAAGATGGATGACGTCGCTGACTTTGTTTAGCCCTGTTTGCCCTTTGGCTCTTTATACGGGACACTTACAAAAAGAACAATGCTCATGGAGCGAACAAGGCACCTCAGGTAGTTGGGTACCAACCTACTTCTGTTCAGGACATGGACGTTGGTAGTCTTATCACTAGACACTAGCGGGTCCAAAGGGGAATTAGGGGCTAATGATCTCCTTGCAGTGCCCGAACTCGATGAAAACTATTCGTTTTTCAAGAATATAAAAACTGAGCTTTTCTTAGTAAAAGTTCGCTCTTAACTGCATAAGCAGTCCGAAAGGAACCGCTAAGTCGAGGGAGTTTTTGCAATTTGGAGAAACTTTTTTGGGGTAATGCCCCCCCCCCCCTCCGTGGAGTTCGAGGCCGCCTCTCTGGATCCGCAGTATTTATCGCCTTGGATCCGCCTATGAGTTTTATCAACAGCTAAATGATGAATCATCAAAGTTCTTTTTTGTTGGATTAGGCCCTTTCGGTCCATTTAGACCATTGCGGAGCCGGGAGGATGAATAAGAACGAGGGGGAGACATTGGTCTGGGCAGGCACTCTAGAGAGTTACCAGGGCTGAGCCCGTCCAATGGGCAGACTGTCCAGCCCCCCCCCCCCCCCAAGGACTCTCTGCACCCGGCTACGGGTGTGCTCCCCGATGCGCTCCAATGGGAGCCGCCCGTTGCCTGTCCAGTTGTCCACTGTCCAGCCCTGAGCAGAGCACTGAGCAGGGCTGCGGCGTGGAGAACGATTTGAATATCCTGTGTATGGAAACGACGGAATGGGTGATAGAAGTCCGACTTTCAACAGATACGTAAGTGAGTGTCGCGCTGCGAGGTTTAGGAAGAAGGTGTTGTGTTGTGGGCAGTGACCGGCCGCGGACAAGGGGACGGAGTACGCACCCCGACCGGCTGTGTATGTGCCCACGTGTCTGGCTAGCAGCCGCCGCCGCTCACTCCAATGACCCGGTGCTCACCTGATCCGGATCAAACTGGATCTCGTCCGCCAGCAGGGCGCGCACCTCGCTCATGTTGTAGTTGATGCGCAGCTCTCGCTGAAGGCGGCCGCCGTCCGGCAGGCAGAACGACACCGGCGCCAGCGGAGCCGAGTTGGTCGAGTCGCGCCGCCGCCACAGGGCCAGCGGCGTCACAGGACTGCAGGAGGGAGCCATGGCGACACACCGTACCGTACCACTCCTCCGACCGTCTGGCGTCGGGCGCACGTGTCGGCGCCTTTATAGGCGGACCCGTCGGACGGCGGGCGCGCCGGCAGCGGCGGGGCCAGGGGCGGCGCGCTGGGCGGACCGGCCGCCGCGCCGCGCCGGTACCGGCACCACAGCCGACAGGCGCCGTCAGTGCAGCGCCGCTCACAACTGGCCCGGGCTGAGGTGGGCTCATGTTGTTCGAAACGAGCGAACGAATGGTACAGGCAATCTTACAGTCAAAGAATTTTGAAAATCGGCCGGTAAAAACTTGAGTTATGAGCGTGTAAACACAAAATAGTGATTGCCGCGTTTCCCGCGTCGGCCGATCACCTCAGCCGGCGACATTTTGCACTTAGCAGGCTTCTAACTGTCATATGTATAATTATATTGTTAGATTAACCCGTGCATGACTGGGGTATTTTCCATAACGCGAGTGACTGAGGGGGGGGGGGGGCTCTCCAGAGCACCCCCTCCTATCTCCAAAACTACTGGGCCGATCGTCAAATTTCAAACGGCGTCTGATAGCCCTGGAAATACTGTCGAGCGGAACCTATTTTTATTGACCTCGAGGTCACCGATGACGGTACAGGTCAGGTCAAATAAAATTATCGGCATTTTTCTTGTTGGCAATTTAGGTTCTGGCCGCCGGCTGACAAGTCCGATCAGGCTCATTTTTGGTTTACGCACTCCTTGATAGATGCCTTACATACCCCGAGGGTACCGAACTTTTACTTCGATTTTTTTCAGGTTAAGGTCAGGTCATCCTAGGTCACGAAAATTGTACATCATGTATCGGTCTCGTGACGCATGTTTTATGGTCCATTTTACTCGTAGATTTTGAAAATAATGTCGTCTGTGTCATTTGAGGTTATTTTCAGCTGAATTTACCGGAGGTCAGGTCACTTTCAGGTCAGAAAAGGTCAAATTTTGAAAATGACATGGGAATTTTTAGCAAAAAAAAAAAATCAGCAAAAAAGGTGCCCATCAGATGCAATTTGAGCTCAGGAACACGATGGTGCCATTTGTATTGCTGTACGTTGTCAAAAACGTACTTAAAATGGTTTTGAAAAATATACCTAGGGGAAAGTGGGGTAAGACGGGCACCTTAACTTTGGAGCCATTTTTCGGCCGGTTAGAAACATCATAGGCCATATACATTGTATTAACCCCATTTAATGTTGTTGTTATGTTCAAAACCAGTAGCAAGCACACTCCCTGAAACGTGAAATACCTAGTGATACAAATTACCCCACCATGTGATACAACTCACCCAAGCCATGGGGCAAGTTGTATCAAAAACATTGTTCTATTCGGCAGACCGTAGAGGAAAAACTGGTAGAGGTAGCGGAAAAGTTACTTTGCACAAAAAAGCAGAAGAATCAAGGAAGGAAATAATATGGAAATAATGACTTTATCACGGATAGTTACGAGGTTATGGGTCTCGGAGTAAAAACTGATACAACCCACCCCACTCTCCCCTATGTTCATTTTTAAGAAACAATTTCCAGCTACTTACCGTGCACAATTTGAAATCGATTATTTTTTTTCGGTAAGAAATTCTTGGCCAGACACTAAAGCTGCCAAAACTCACGTGAGAGCTTCGATATTGCACTTTGAGCCAGCGTCCTTTAAAAAAAAGAACTACAATTGTAAAATTTTGACAATAGTTACGGACCTAATGCTAATAACTTGGCTATCTTTGAAGATATTTGGCTAAAACTTGCTAGAGTAGTTCATCATTGTGTATTCTATCACATACCTATATTTTTTTGCGAAAAATCAAAACTTTTTGAAAAAATAAAAAAAGTATATTTTTTGCAAATTGTAAAAACATATTTTTCAAAATTTTGACAATTTTGAAAATTCGAGATAGCAGTTTGAGAGCTACGTGTATTTGTAACCGATGGTTTGTTGTCAATAGTTAAAACACTATTCTTTAGAATTGTGTTTTTCTATTGAAAAACAAATCTGAGTTCCCTGACAATTTGGCAAAAGCTGCCTGAGATCAGTACCTACAACTTGATTCTCTAGAAAACGGCTGCTCCAAAAATTCTGATTTTTTTCAGGATTTCTAGTGGGCCAGGTGATCTACGTTCTGGTATGGGTCTCTCCTCCGCTGACAGTCTGGTGCACGTGCCACGTGACTTTGAAAATTCCCATGTTAAGCCAATGGGAAAAATGAAAAAATGCGTTCCACGGCAGATTGCTCGAAAACGATCCAAACGACCCCCCATTTTCTTCCATGCAGATCAACCACCATTCGGTGCACTACCCATGGGTATGTCGCAAATTGGCCGGAAAAGTCCAGAACCACGTGCCACGTGCCGTTGAAAATGACCCTGCACACCGGAAATTTGGACTTTTGGTCATTTCGGCACACCCGCGACGCAGACTATGGTGTGGGTGACCAAACAATGGGTGTCATCTGGTCGGCAACTGTTTAAAGTGTCGTCCAGTGGGTCAAAGGGGTAGTTCCAAACCTTTGGGATCCACCATTCTGGGGATTCTTTTTGACAATATACTTACGTTTCTTGGCGCAATGTTCATTCCACCCAGCCGGTCGTCAATGCGTTAGGTGACCCAAATGACGATTGACGTGAAGGAAGTTGGGGGCGCGGAACACGCACGTGCCATCCGTTTTTTAATTGGGCGCTTTCATCTAGGATATTTTTGCAGATCACTTTTTGATTTGTGAAAATGACCAATAAGCTGAATCTCTGGAATCCTATCGGTATGCCAGTCGTTGATAAATTATTATCTTGCTGCGGCCGGGCGCTTATTTGCGGTGTTTGCGTTTGGCGGCTGGCGGACGACTTTTAGTCGTTTTTGGTTAGCAGTTAGCGTCGGTGCGATGCGGGCGGTTTTATTTTTTCGGCGTTTCGGCGTCTTTTTTGTGTGGTTTGCGGCAGTCGGGCGATTTTTTTCGACGTTTGCGTTGGCGTTTCGGGCGTGCGTTTTGCACGTTTTGTGGTGTTTACGTTTTGCGGCGGGCGGGCGTTTTGTGTTTTTTTTTGCGGTGTTTATCTTTGGCGGCGGGCGGGCGGGCGGGTGGTTTTATATTTTTTGCGTCGTTTGCGGTGTTAATTTGTTTGCGGTTGGCGGCCGCTTTATCGTTTTTTTTTGCGGTGTTTGCTTATGGCGGCGGGCGGGCGATTTTTAGGCGTTTTCGGTTGGCGATTAGCGGGCGTGCGATGCGGGCGGTTTTATTGTTTTGCGGCGTTTTTGCGTTTTTTTGCGGTTTGCGGCGGGCGGGCGTTTGTTTATTTTTTGCGACGTTTGCGTTGGCATTTCGGGCGTGCGTTTTGCGCGTTTTGTGGTGTTTGCGTTTTGCGGCGGGCGGGCGTTTTTCACAATTCAAAGTCCAAACCTTCGGGCCACAGCGCTCCTCGAAAAGCGCTGCCCTCGAGTAACCGAAGGTTTGTTGTCAATAGTTAAAACACTATTCTTTAGAATTGTGTTTTTCTATTGAAAAACAAATCTGAGTTCCCTGACAATTTGGCAAAAGCTGCCTGAGATCAGTATACAACTTGATACTCTAGAAAACGGCTGCTCCAAAAATTCTGATTTTTTCAGGATTTCTAGTGGGCCAGGTGATCTACGTTCTGGTATGGGTCTCCCCTCCGCGGACCTTCTGGTGCACGTGCCACGTGACTTTGAAAATTCCCGTGTTAAGCCAATGGACAAAATGAAAAAATGCGTTCCACGGCAGATTGCTCGAAAACGATCGAAACGACCCCCCATTTTCTTCCATGCGGATCAACCACCATTCGGTGCACTACCCATGGGTATGTCGCAAAGTGGCCGGAAAAGTCCAGAACCACGTGTCACGTGCCGTTGAAAATGACCCTGCACACCGGAAATTTGGACTTTGTGTCATTTCGGCGCACCCATGATGCATACTATGGCGTGAATGACCAAACAATGGGTGTCATCCGGTCGGCAACTGTTTTAGGTGTCGTCCAGTGGGTAAAAGTGGTAGTTTCAAACTTTTGGGATCTACCATTCTGGGGATTCTTTTTGACAATATGCTTATGTTTCTTGGCGCAATGTTCATTCCACCCAGCCGGTCGTCAATGCGTTAGGTGACCCAAATGACGATTGACCTGAAGGAAGTTGGGGGCGAGGAACACGCACGTGCCATCCGTTTTTTAATTGGGCGCTTTCATCTAGGAGATATTTGCAGATATCTTTTTGATTTGTGAAAATGGCCAAAAAGCTGAATCTCTGGAATCCTAGCGGTATGCCAGTCGTTGGTAAATTATTATCTTGCTGCGGCCGGGCGCTTATTTGCGGTGTTTGCGTTTGGCGACTGGCGAGCGATTTTTAGTCGTTTTCGGTTAGCAATTAGCGTCGGTGCGGTGCGGGCGGTTTTATTTTTTTTCGGCGTTTTTGCGTTTTTTTTTGTGGTTTGCGGCGGTCGGGCGATTTTTTTCGACGTTTGCGTTGGCGTTTCGGGCGTGCGTTTTGCACGTTTTGCGGCGGGCGGGGGCGTTTTGTGTTTTTTGCGGTGTTATTCTTTGGCGGCGGGCGGGCGGGCGATGCGGGCGGTTTTCTTTGTTTGCGTCGTTAGCGGTGTTAAATTTGTTTGCGGTTGGCGGCCGCTTTTTCGTTTTTTTTTGCGGTGTTTGCTTTTCGCGGCGGGCGGGCGATTTTTAGGCGTTTTCGGTTGGCGGTTAGCGGGCGCGCGATGCGGGCGGTTTTATTGTTTTGCGGCGTTTGCGGCGTTTAATTTGTTTACGGTTGGCGGCCGCTTTTTCGTTTTTTGCGGTGTTTGCTTTTGGCGGCGGACGGGCAATTTTTAGGCGTTTTCGGTTGGCGGTTAGCGGGCGTGCGATGCGGGCGGTTTTATTGTTTTGCGGCGTTTTTGCGTTTTTTTTTAGTTGCGGTTTGCGGAGGGCGGGCGTTTGTTTATTTTTTGCGACGTTTGCGTTGGCGTTTCGGGCGTCGTTTTGCGCGTTTTGCGGTGTTTGCGTTTTGCGGCGGGCGGGCGTTTTTCACAATTCAAAGTCCAAACCTTCGGACCACAGCGCTCCTCGAAAAGCGCTGCCCTCGATAGCCCACTGATGCAAATAAATTGGATTTGGCTTTAAAACTAAGCTCTTGAGAGCGTTTGCCGTAACTCAATATTTTGCATCAAAATCGGCCGACATGACGTCACTCTGACGTCATTTCCGGCCAAGCGATGCTAGCTAGAAAGTTGAAATTTTAACACAAGTTGTCAAATTGATGCCGCTGAGAGTACCGCAAGTTTCGTGTTGATCTGTCAAACGGTTTAGAAGATATTCATATTTCTGTAAGGTTTTTCGCAAATACCGTAAAAACGGAAAAAACCAAATTTGGCATACCCTCTGGGGCAGCGTTTTGGCACCTTCCCTGAAAATTTCAGGTCTCTGCCGTTTCAGGTCAGGTCACCAGGTCAGAAAAACCGGTACAAGGTCATGGTCAAATGTCAATTTTCTTTATGCACCTGTCCAACTCACAGTTTTAAACTGATTTCCTTCAAACTTTCAGGATGTCTTAAGTTCACCGAGTTGTATAACATGTAGGTCGTTTTTTTCATGTCGCTGACCTGAGGTCAGTTAGAGCCGAGGTCATTACGTCGTAATGTTAAGCCTATAAGAAAATATTCAATTCGGAAAATACTGGCGATATCCGCTTCTTTTATCACTTTGGTGCTTTGAAACAACAGTACTTAACATTATGTCACTTGGTGCTTCTTTGTTGGGAGTACTTGTCCATGGGTCAGGTCAAATGAGGTCAACTGAGGTCAAATGACGTTTGTGCCAATAGCTTGTCACACAATAAAGATAAAGCTTTCAAAATGGCATCATTTTGTTCCTCTTGAACAGCCGAGTCGAATGATATGCAACCTTAAGCATTTCGACCATTCTTAAGACTTAAGATGTACTTAAGATGTGCTTAACTTTTAAGTACACTTAACCCACGCCCTGGTGGGGTCTGTTTATAACGCGACCTGGTGGGGGGCTATTTTTTGCCCCCCCCTCGTATCTCCGAAACTACTGGACGGATCCGCAAAATTCAAACGGCGTTCGAAAGGCCTGTCAAATTTGTCTAAGGAAACCAAATTTCATTGACCTCGGGGTCACCGATGACGTCACAGGTCAGGTCAAAGATGAAAGGTTTCACCGTTCACGGGTCTTCTAAGGAATGCGCTATAACACCGAAAAAAACGCATTTTGTCAAGAATCAGCGGTATTGCGTCAGTTGCCTAGTAGATATGTTGCTATTAGAGGTCACTGGCAATACCAGGTCAGGTCACAGGTCAGGTCACCAAGGGTCACAGGTCAGGTCATATGAGCCCAACTTTACTAAGGTTGTGTGATACATGTTTTATGGCCAATTTTTCATTTCCAACTCAATGGTGTTGGTTATAAGACTATCAGGTACGGCTTAGGTCACTTTCTGGTGAAGTTCAGGTCAAGGTCTGGTCAAGGTCAGGCCAAAAAAGTTCAAATTTTAAAGTTGATAGTTTTGCATAAAATGAGTATTGATTCGATGCAGCTCGTCACGGGGAGTCTAATAGTGGTCTTTGTTTTGCGCTACGGGGTCTAGAATTGCTACAAATTGAGTTTGAAAATTTGACGTCATCAATGTTGAACAGTTTTTTCGCTATAACTTCGCCAAAAAAAGAGGTATCAATCTCAAATTTGGTATGTGGATGGAAGGCGGTAAGGACTATCACATATATTCCGGTTTTTGCGAAATTAAAAAAAATTGGATTTTTCGATTATTATATCCAAAAAATATATTTTTTGATTTTTGGGGGTCAATATCCAAAAATTTCAAACATCCGAGATAGCAGTTTTGTAGCCCTGTCCAATCTACAGCTTTTATGTCTTATCATTTTTCTGTATTTGCAAAGCTATAGGCCTGACAGCTCTTCCCGCGAAACCCTTTTTTGGATCGAAAACGGCAGAACATGACGTCACTCTGACGTCATTTCCGGCCAACCTATCATAGCCTTTGGAAAATTTTTGGTCATAATGTGTAAAATTGATGTCCGGGAGGGTACTGAAAGTTTGGTGACGATCGGCGCAGCGGTTCTGGAGATATATCGAAAAGTCTGGAGGGGGGGGGGGGCAAAAATAGCCCCCCCACCAGGTCGCGGGTTAAGCAAGCAAACAAGCATATCATTCGACGCGCCTTGACGTGCTGAGTTCACTGGTGCTTTTCTTTTTGCCCTATCTTAATTAGATCAAAAGTTAAAAGCGAAAAACGTTTGGACTGTTTTAGCAAAAAATTTACACTTATACCCCCAAAAACCCCCTAAATATTGACCTAGAGCAACCAAATTTGTACAGGGGCGAGAACTACTATAGACCCATCTACCCTGTAAATTTGGTGTTTCTAAGTGCCATAGGAGCCAATCGCCAGGGGGGGTCCGTACCAACCCCCCCCCCCTCGTTGTCCGTGCTATGGAAAAGGCCCTCGCCTGGCGTCTGGCGAGGGATAAACTCACAAATGTATGTTCTTTCGTATAATGAAAAAAAGAAGAAAATCAGCCGGTAACTTTTTGAGTTATCGGCATGTAAACGCTAAAAAAGTCGCTCATATGGCAGATCAAAAGTCGCTCAGAAGTTCTTATTGCCACAGTAGCGATTTTAACTTTCCTTCGTGCCGAATCTCAATCCCAAAATACCTTCAAAAAAGAAAAGTGGCATCGCAAATTTGGTAGCTTTGCGCTTCTGCCTCCGCGGCGTACATTTTCTTCTTTTCTTTTTCTCCTTGAGTGGTTCTTTTGCTTAGCATCGTTCTTCAATCGCGCGACTTACTGATTTTGACACTTTTCTTGAATTTTATATCATTTCGGTGTCGTGTGTGGTAAGGCAACACACAAATACTCTAAGTCATGGCCTCCACCAGCCTCATGTTCGCTCGAAGGCTGAGCACGTCGTCCGTCACTCGAGAAATGATCAAGGCTCCAATTCAGGTAAACTATCGGTTTGGTCAGGTTAAATTGTTTTTATCTTCACTGTACTTTATCGACACATTTACCGTAATCTCTCCGAAGGCATTGTGCCAGGAGCAATTTGATGTTACTTTCCATATCAGTTGCGGAAACTGTGGTACATTCCAATTCTTCTATTTGTAGAAGTCTTCCTCTATTTGAAGACTTCCATAAATGGACATGCAACTCCAAAAATGGACATGCTGGTGATGCAAGCATGCAAGCATACCCAACTATAGAAAATGTTGACCATGTTTTGATGGCAATCAATTTGTGCAGAAAATGACAAAAATGTGACACCCCTGGTCACATTCACACAGTGTCCCAAAATTTGTCAATTTGGATGGGAAACGACATCCAAATGAAAATCAATTTCCACATTTACCTCCAGTTTTCAAGCCCAATTTCCACTCCCAATTCCACTGAGGAAGAGCCGTCGCGTAAATGGTTGTTTTGCATCTGTCACAATTGTAGATTAATAATTTTCATCATTTTCCCACTCTTTTTGGGCCTTACCTGACCAACGATTTTTCACTCTCATCATTTCTTTGGTCAGAAATTTTCTCCTCTGACACCCAAGCAAAAATATAATTTTGGGAGACTGCATTCATATCGGCATAGCGAAGTGTCTAGATTTTAGCATGGATGTCTAGCTCCTAGTGTGGTTATATTTTATATCATTTTTGAAGTAAGGGTATGGGACCCATTTGGCATGTGCGGCGCATGTGCAGGGTGCCACTTCCAGATCTCGAGAACGGCTGGGCCGATTGTGCTCAAATTTGGTTCATCGCTAGAGACGGTTAGTAGGGTGCCGTGCGCAAGTCAGTTGGAGGTACCCCCTCGTAATTTCGCACGTGTGAGGCCCACCCTCTCGCTCGCTCCGTTAGTCGTCAAAAGGCATTATACTGGTAGGTACCTACTAATAAGCTTCATAAAACCACGATTTAACTGCCAGTGGGTTTTGTGTCTGAAAATATCAAGGAAGGTTTCAATCTTATTTTAACAGAAAGAAATTATATGGTTTAACGTTCATGTGAACTGAATTAGTTATTGATTCATAGAAATCGTATGGTGCTGTTTAAGCATTTTGATTAACACTCCATCAAACTTCTCCTGCTGCCCGAAATTACCTGACCTGACTGTACTGAGGCCTAGACAACGACGACCATCTGCTCAACTCGCACAACAATCCTGCTTGCTGTGGGCTTTTGCTCTGCTAATCCGTTTAACTGTTGCGTGGTTATGCTATTGAATTCGATTTTCCTAACTAAAACCGTAGCCCGACCTGTGAGCCATTGACTGGGCGCTGCTGTTCGCATTGGACGTGAACCCTCGCCAGACCAGGGTCTTTTTCATAACACGGACGGCCAGGGGAGGTTGATACGACCCCCCCCCCCCCCCCCGGTCTGTCTGTGGTGATTGGTTCCTATGGCATTTAGAAAGACTAAGTTCACATGGTAGGTGGACAGAGGAGGATGGAAATTTCGCCTCTTTGCGAATTTGGTGACTCTAGGTTAACATTTTTTTATACATAAATATGTAAAGGAAAAATTGCCTATAACCAGTCAGTTTCTGGCTTATACATAGAACTCAGCACGTCAATGCGCATCAAATGATATGCTGCTTAATTATTTTAACGGGATTATCAGGTTTTTGAACTTTCGAAGGGATCAGTTTATTTTGGTCAATCCGCAAGCAGCTGCCTCTGATATGTCGGCTCCGGGCCTGACCAGCGGCATCTGATATATAAGCTTCTTAGAAGCGTTACAGGCCGAGCCAGGTTTTCCCTCGGCTTCCACCTTCCTGGCGACAATTCTCCCGCTAGATGGAGGTCAGAACCTGCCGAAAATTGCTGAGACTTCAGTATATTCTGTATGATCTCATCCAGACTTGTGCCGTGACTAAAAATCAAGACCAGGATCCTCAAGGCCCCACGGCAAATTCAATTTTTAGAATCCAACTCATCCAGGGTGCTATGGGAGTGTCATAGGGTGACGCCGTGTGTTGTCCGTGTGCACAGGTGTTTGGCGTCGAGGGCCGCTATGCGTCTGCGCTCTACTCGGCCGCCTCAAAGAACAAGCAACTGGAAAAGGTGGAGAAGGACCTGATCGAGGTACAGGCCCTGCTGAAGAGCGACGTGCCGTTCCGCGAGTTCGTGCTGAACCCGACGCTGAAGAAGGAGGCCAAGCGGCAGGCGATGGAGGTGGTGGCCTCCAAGAAGAAGACGACGGACGCCACCAAGAACCTGCTGGTGCTGATGGCCGAGAACGGCCGGCTGACCCACCTGGACGCCGTGGCCGCTTCCTTCCGCACCCTGATGGCCGCGCACCGCGGCGAGGTCAGTGGTACCCTCGGGACGCCGGGACGGTGGTACAGGGGACGCCGAGACGGTAGTACAGGGGAGACCGGGACGGTAGTACCCGGGGAGACCGGGACGGTAGTACAGGGGAGACCGGCACGGTGGTACAGGGTAGACCGGGACAGGGGAGACCGTGACGGTAGTATCCGGGGAGACCGGGACGGTAGTACAGGGGAGACTGGGACGGTGGTACAGGGGAGACCCGCATTAACCCGTTATCCCGGATTTGACTGGGAGAGACGGACGTGGGGGCTGGTCTTCGGTGCCCCTTCTCGTTTTCCTGCGCTACAATTAACAAACCCATCGGCACAAAGCTGTCCACTTCAAAGGCACCAGGAAACATCATATTCACAATAAAAATAAATAGTTACCTTTTGTGCGTGCAGCGAGTGGGAGAAATATAATTGGTGGCATTCGGTGCCTGCCTGTTTGTACCCTTAAACACCAACCCCCACACGTCGCCCGCTACTATCATCGGTGAGCCACCTACTCAGCCTCATGCAAGGGACATGCGTTGGCCCTCATCTCTTCCGAATTTATAAAGCGTAATGATTCATAGCATGAGGATTGTAGTAGACATAATGTGACAATCATTATTATGAATCATACAAATGCCTTTTAGGCTCAAAGCTTGATGTTACTAGCTTAATTGTAAATAACTGCAGGCATTTTCGAATTTTGGTTGTACGTGCTGCGTGCACACACTTATTGAAGGCCTCGACAAAATCGATGCCGCTCCAATGCTCGTTTTCGCATCATTTTATTGGTTTCTCTTTGCGGTGTTGGACATCGCCTTAGTACACCTTTTTGCGTTGTCCGCTGGCCAATAGTCAAAACCCATTCGCCCGATCTGCGTATAGGTGGCGACAGTGAGAGGCATTCCGGCAAAACGTTCAGCACACGGGCAAAACGGACCGCTGATCCCACTCCACAGTTCGTCAGTCGGTATAACCTTCGCTATTCGACATAACTGATTGAACTCCGGCAAAACCTTTGACCATGGATGACCTTCATCCATGCTTTGACGATTTGGATAAATGCTTCGTCACTTGTTAACATCCCTTCGTCGTTCACCAAAACATCCCCATGTTAATTTCGGCATTCCTCACAACATTTCGTCAACAGTGAAAACAGATCCGCTGATGTACGGAGAAGGATAAATATGACCGCGTTTCTACAGTGCAGTGCGAAGCATATGTGGCGAAACTCTGGTTATTTATCCATCTAAAAAATAAATCGGTATCTGTTCATGAGCGCCAACAGACGTAACTGACATGTTATCGGTTGATTGAACAATGAACAGGCAACAGAGCGTTTGATAGGTCAACCCCACCTCAAACGCCAGGACACAAAGGTATCTGGCCGGCCGGGCCCGGTTCGCCAACTGTCAACCATTCGCCCGTGAGTCCGACCGGCCGCCGGAGGCGTTGTTTCATGACAGCGCTCGGGCGGTGACGCGATTATGACGGACGGCCGGCTTCGTGGTTTGTACCGAAGCGGTTAGGAGTCCGACGATTTGCCGTCTGTATACCTACTCGGATTAGCGCCGGTAGTCTCCTCTTCTCTGTCGCATGCCACCCGTTTCGGAATCTCATGGTTAATTACGAGCGAGCGAGCGCAGCGAGCGAAGCGAGTCTTTTCAATATAACGGAAAAATCTCAGTATGAGCGGCCCGGCCCGGCCCGGCCCGGCCCGGCCTGTAACGCTTTTGAGAGGCTTATATCTCAGCAACCGCTGGACCGATTGGCCTGCGGTCTTTTTTGCTGGGTAGCCCCATCCCTTCTACCCCGTAATTGACTACTTTTGATACATCTCAGTGACCGTCGTGGCACGTGCCACGTGAAAAGTCAAGGGTGTTCAAGCAGTTTTGAAAAAGTAATGATTTTGAGAGGCCCATATCTCCGCAGCGGCTTGAGCGATTGTCTTGCGGTCATTTTTATAGGGTAGCTGCATCCCTTCCACCAAAGGTCGGATACTCTTGATCTATGTGAGTGACCCCCACTGCACGTGCAAAATACAACAATAAGAGGTGCCAAATTTGTTCCCATTTCAGTAACTCGGTAATTACTGGGGCGATTTCGCTGAAACTTGGCATACATGTAGGCACCCACCAGGCAATGCATTCCCATGTGTTGCGGTTAGGGTGCTACTGCACGTGCGCACGTGCAGGGGGCGTTTCCAGATCTCGAGAACGGCTGGGCGGATTGCGCTCAAATTTGGTACACGGTTGGGGACCGGTTAGTAGAGTGCCGTGCAAAAGTCATTTTGGACCCCGTTTGCACGTGCGCACGTGCAGAATGCCGCTTCCAGATCTCAGGAACGGCTGGGCCGATTGTGTTCAAATTTGGCACACCGCTAGCGACCGGTTAGAAGGGTGCTTTGCACAAGCCCGTTGGAAGTACCCTCTCGCCCTTCTGCACGTGCAGGGCTCACTATCTCGCTCGCTCGTTCTTCGCCCAAAAGGCGTTTTACTGGTTGATTAATTGGCTAGAGGCCATTAATGCAAGTTGCAATGGAACACTTGACAAACCGCGTACATGAATATCTGATTAACAAATAACAACCAGTAAAACGCCTTTTGGGCGAAGAACGAGCGAGCGAGATGGTGAGCCCTGCACGTGCGAAAGGGCGAGAGGGTACTTCCAACGGGCTTGTGCAAAGTGCACCCTTCTAACCGGTCGCTAGCGGTGTACTAAATTTGAACGCAATCGGCCCAGCCGTTCCTGAGATCTGGAAGCGGCATTCTGCACGTGGGCATTCTGCACGTGCGCACGTGCAAACGGGGTCCAAACTGACTTTTGTACGGCACCCTACAAACTGGTCCCCATGGGCGCAAAATGACCTTTGCAGTCGACGCGCCCTAAAGCCCCAATAAACAAACAAATAACTGGTCCCCAACCGTGTACCAAATTTGAGCGCAATCGGCCCAGCCGTTCTCGAGATCTGGAAGTGCCCCCTACACGTGCGCACGTGCAGTAGCACCTTAACTGCAACACATGGGAATGCATTGCCTGGTGGGTGCCTACCTGTATGCCAAGTTTCAGCGAAATCGCCCCAGTAATTACCGAGTTATTAAAATGGGAACAAATTTGGCACCTCTTCTTTTTGCATTTTGCACGTGCAATGGGGGTCACTCGCATAGATAAGAGTATCCGACCTTTGGTAGAAGGGATGCAGCTACCCTACAAAATTACCGCAAGACAATCGCCCAAGCGGCTGCTGAGATATGAGCCTCTCAAAATCACTACTTTTGCAAAACAGCTTGAACACCCTTGACTTTTCACGTGGCACGTGCCACGACGGTCACTGAGATGTATCAAAAGTAGTCAATTACGGGGTAGAAGGGATGGTGCTACCCAGCAAAAAAGACCGCAGGCCAATCGGTCTAGCGGTTGCTGAGATATAAGCCTCTCAAAAGCGTTACAGGCCGGGCTCATACTGAGATTTTTCCGTTATATTGACCAGTAAAACGCCTTTTGGGCGAAGAACGAGCGAGCGAGATAGTGAGCCCTGCACGTGCGGAAGGGCGAGAGGGTACTTCCAACGGGCTTGCGCAAAGCACCCTTCTAAACGGTCGCTAGCGGTGTACCAAATTTGAACGCAGTCGGCCCAGCCGTTCCTGAGATCTGGAAGCGGCATTCTGCACGTGCGCACGTGCAAACGGGGTCCAAACTGACTTTTGCACGGCACCCTACTAACTGGTCCCCAACCGTGTACCAAATTTGAGCGCAATCGGCCCAGCCGTTCTCGAGATCTGGAAGCGCCCCCTGCACGTGCGCACGTGCAGTAGCACCTTAACTGCAACACATGGGAATGCATTGTCTGGTGGGTGCCTACCTGTTTGCCAAGTTTCAGCGAAATCGCCCCAGTAATTACCGAGTTATTAAAATGGGAACAAATTTGACACCTCTTATTGTTGTATTTTGCACGTGCACTGGGGGTGACACACATGCATCGGGGGTATCCTATTTTTGGTAGAAGGGATGCTGCTACCCTACAAAAATTACCGCAAGCCAATCGCCCAAGCGGCTGCTGAGATATGAGCCTCTAAAAATCACTACTTTTGCAAAACAGCTTGAACACCCTTGACTTTTCACGTGGCACGTGCCACGACGGTCACTGAGATGTATCAACAGTAGTCAATTACGGGGTAGAAGGGATGGGGCTACCCAATAAAAAAGACCGCAGGCCAATCGGTCCGGTGGTTGCTGAGATATAAGCCTCTCAAAAGCGTTACAGGCCGGGCCGGGCCGGGCCGGGCCGGGCCGCTCATACCAAGATTACTTTACTACTCATACTGGCTCATACTGAGATTTTTCCGTTATATTGAAAAGACTCGCTTCGCTCGCTGCGCTGGCTCGCTCGTAATAAACATTCAACATGACTAGATAACCACAGCTATAGGACATTTCGATCATTGCCGAAAGTTTTAAATCAACAGTCATTGTTTACGCACAGTACCGATGAATTTTGCACATCGAGTAATCATTTTGTGAAATGTCAAAACATTATCATAATCTGGTATGACGTTTTGCCTGTGACGAACATTGTGCTCAATGACAAAAGAGTTGTGCACAATGGTTAAATGGAGCCCAGCCTGTTTCGCTGACCATCAGTGATGCACCTCGCCGATGGGTTATGCTGAATGACGCTTGTTCAAACTGATGCCGAAACGGTTATGACGATTGGCCATCGAACAACGCAAAAAGGTGTAACACCGTAAAACGAAACGACAGTTACTTTGATCGCCTTGCTCAAGGCTTCAGATTAGTAATGCCGCCCGCGTTTTGTATGAGCTCATGTAGGGCTGGCCATCACTGCAGGAAATGACGTGAGGCGACACGTAGTGCCCATTGTTCTCCGCATGACACTTTTACCGAGATGATGGATGATCAATTTTCCTCGGAAATAACCAGCCCCAGACGTTCATTGATGATTTTCCTTCAAAAGTTACCTACTCACGGTCGTTAAGTGTGTGATGTTGCGCTTATATCAGCCTTCGGGCGAACGGACTGGGAAACGGACTGGGAAAGATGTGCAATGTGTATTGCATCCTGGCAGTTGAGAGTCTCAACAGAGAGTCCGACCCCCCCCCCCGACCCCGCCGACGGGGGGTCGGGGGGTAGCGACCCCCCACTCGTCAGAACCGGGGGGGGTCGACCCCCCCACTTTTGGCGATGCTGAGTGGTGTGACGCCCGCGCCGCTCCCCCGCAGGTGGTGTGCGAGGTGACCACGGCCAAGGAGCTGGACGCCGCCGGCAAGAAGGAGCTCGAGGCCGCGCTCCAGGCCTTCCTGAAGAAGGGCGAGGTGCTCAAGTACTCGACCAAGGTGGACCCGGCCCTCATCGGTGGCATGGTGGTCACCATCGGCGACAAGTACGTCGACATGTCGATCGCCTCCAAAATCAAGAAGTACACGGCGGCCATTTCGTCGGCCGTGTAGCGGCCGGGACGGCGGGCTGCGCGCCCATAGACGGCAGGCGTGTGAGTGTTTACCGTGCAATGTGACCTGTTGTGCGCCCGTGCCGCACGCAGCCTCAATACAGCTGGGGGCCGGGCACTCGGCGTGTTGGCGGCGGCTGGACGACGGGGACCTCTCACCGTCACCGGTCATCCGCGTCTGAGCGGACAGACGCGGCCCCCACTGGAGGGGTGTTCGCGGCGCTCGGCGTTGGGTTGTCCCACACGGAGCTGAGCGGGCTGGGGACGCGGAGCTGAGCGGGCTGGGGACGCGGAGTGCTGGCGGTATTGTATCGGGGCGGCCGCAGCTGGTGTGCCATTGCTGTGCCGCGGCGCGGACATCTCGGTGGTGCGACCGCAGCCCGGGCACGGCAAAAACCTTACAGCTACACACCACCGTATCGGTCACAGCAGATAGGTACAGATATGTATTCATCAAGGGTCCACAGCAAAAGGTGGCTTTTCACCTGATACGTAAAGCAGAGAAAACCGATAAAACATGGGGTAAGTGGACATGACATCATCATAGCACACACAAATCACGCACACGACATTCACACCAATACCATCTCAGTGACGTCTGGTAAGAATAGCGTTTTTTGCTTCTCGACGGAACGATGGCAAATACGGATCCAAGTTAATGTCGTTCAACATCGATACCCCCCTGATACACAGTCGGCGCCTCCCCGTCTCGGTTCGGGGTCGTGGTTGTGTCAATCTGCCGGCGTGCCTTGTGTTGTGGTCCTGGTCATGTAGGTCGCGGGCTAATGGAACGATGGTATGGCTGATATATTCAGGAATTCTCGTGGTGATAGCTCGCTGGACTGCGCAGATGGTGTGGTACTCGGCTAACTCATCAGCTTGCAGCCAGCCGAGCCGCTCGATGACATCGGAGATGTGGTCAACTGGTCACTGCGTCTGCGACCGCTGACGACCCGCCCACAAAAGTTGATGATCTTCTGTACGCGAGTCATCTGTGTCACACCACGCGTCCCGTACACACTCATGTAGTACCGCACGATGGAAAGAACCAGGGCCTGCACTACAAACCTCAGTGTGCTGGATGGCATCACGTGACGTGCGTGGGTGAAGGCGATGAGTATGCCGGCACAGCAACCAGACTGGACAGTCGCCAACTACACATGTCACCCTCACCCCTGACTCTCTGTGGGAGTGTCATTTAGCTACGCTTTCCACCATCTTTATTTGGGACTTTGTTATTTTCTTTTTAATTTAATTAATTCTGCCTTTGTCTGAACTTCAATGACTTGCGTCGACAAAGCTTACGACGCGTCAAATTTGCAGGCATTCAGTTGTGGGCACGAGTCATCGGAGGTCTTCTCACTAGGTGGAATGAGGAAACCTGGTGCCCCCCCCCCCCCCTCCCAAGTTATTTTATCCTGCATACAGTCTAGTCCACATTTATTTATAAAAACGACGGAACACATTACACGTATATGAGTAAATAGAGACTTTGTGCTATGAGAATTCAGATCAAAGTTCATGCGCAGCCCTCGTCTCACCAGATGGCAGGTAGTTTTAAGCTTCATTTCGACAGGACCGAGAACAGCTCGATAGCTTTGTCATAGTTATCCAGGAATCGTGATTCGACAAAGAAGTGCTGCGATGCGCCACTCCAAAGAGCTTATTACACTCGTAGGCTTCACTTTCCGCCTAGTGTGGCGACGAAATACAAAATGTGTAATTCCTGCCAAATACGTCACTGCCATGTTGAGCGAGTTTGTCAAAAACTTTGCTAGCCGATAGTGTGGAGCGCAGAGCGTCTTTGTATCATAATTTATGATTGGCTCATTAAGGTGGCCGTCCACTGGTTAGGCGAGTATTCATCGCGCAATCGTAGAGCGCCTAGCACGCGCTGAAAAAGGTCTAGTATTTCAACTCGTCAGCGCGTAATTCGGCGCCGAGCAGCCGACGAATTCTGACTGCACTTCGTCGTGCGTTACCGCAGTCGACGCGCAGCCCATAGATTCAGCGCGCCTCACCAGTGGACGGCCACCTTAAAGGAAATGGTTTACTTTTAACGTGGGGTTTGGAACTGGCATAGCAGTTTTGTAGGCTGTAGCTTGGGCTGAGACTAGCACAAATCAGAAGCTTTTACGGCCCAACGATCACACTACACGAAGATATTCCATTTCTCGTTCCGACTTCCGAAAACAGTGCCTTGCAGAGGAATGCGTGCCATGCTGAGAAATGCAGCCACGTCATGTCATCGTCAGCCAATCAGCATGCTGTTTACAGCCAATGGGTTTGTACTACGCAACATGATTGGCAGGCATCGGTAGGATTGTGATTGCAGGATTGCAAAATCCTGATTGCATTCCTTTTTGGTGGATTGCACCGGGATTTGAAATCCATTCCAAAAAAAGGATTTGATTGCGGATTGGATTGCATCATACTTCCAATTTTTGCAATCCAATCCGGATTGTGTTTGATTAGTGCTTTGAAATGATTAGCTGCGATTGAAAATTATGAGATAGGCTTCATCGGCTTAATGTAGGGTAAGGTGCGTAATTAGCGACCCTTTCCGATTTGCGACCTACCTCCCTACAGAAAAACTGGCAGGAGAAAACGGGGTAAAAACATCGTCAAAAGGTCAGCCATACTTTGGTTATCAAGTTAAATTATTTTTCGGTCGTCGATGTTTCTGGTGGGACGTTTCAGGTGAGTTTAAATAAAAATGACGAGTTTCTTATCCAAAACGTGTGTGTTTGGGTCCTCTCTGATGAAAAGCGATGCACATTAGGATGATGCACCTTTTTTATTCTGAATCGACATTCCTTTTCTAATTGATTGCCGTTTTCCCATAGTGAATCGCTCAACTGTGCACAGCATGGCGGTTAAAAATGTGTCGCAACTCATATTTCCTATTTGCGCCTGACATGGTCGCAAATAGCTCAAGAAGGGAGAGAAAGGGGAAAAGAGAGAAATGAAAATGAAGTGTTGCTGAAGCTTGCAATGTGTGGCAGGGGATGTCAAATGTCGTCACCGACCGCAGGGGTGCCGAATTCAGCGCGGACCTCGAATATCATACAAGATAGCCCGCAAAATTTGGGTTTCCGCCTTCTTTTCGCCTTCGGTGCATCACGTGATCAGTTTTTACTTACGTAAATGTGTTGGATAAACGTTCCTGTTCGAGTGATTGAGTGCTTTGCGTATAGGTTACCTTTTTGAGATCATATTTCATCTTTTCAGGCGTCGCATTTTTTGCCATTTTTAATATGGGGAAACCCATAGACTTATTAGCGACCCTCCCCGGTCGCTAATTGGGAAGAGTTCCCTATTAGCGTTTTTTGCAATGGTTTGCCAAAATGCTCACTACAAATAAGTTAGTGAATATTGGGGCAGAAAATGACTATATTTTAATAGAAAAATGAACGATCTCTCCGAAAATCAAGCCAGTAACACAGTTGCACCCACAGATCGTGAGCAATGACGGTTCAAATTAAGGGAGTCGCTAATTAGGCACCTTACCCTACTTTGCTATCAAGGGCTTTACATCGAAACTTGAAATAATTTAAACGCTTTTAATTTAAACGCGCAAAATAATATACGCTGATGAACTACATAGGAAGGGCAAAATTACGTATTTGAGGGCGAGTTTTAAAAATAAAAAACGCTGGTTGGGTACAGGTTTAAATGTGGGGGTGTTTGAGGCAAATAATATTTCCCATAAAATACCTGTGCCTTAGATAGGAATTACTCGCAAGACTAGGTGCTAGAAATGGGTGATTTTGGGATGGAGGCACGGCCCTATGCCCCCCTCCCTCCCCCAGATTCACTAGTGCACATAATACCTAATACAACAGGATTGCAAAAAACGATTGCGGATTTGATCACAATCCAAGTGAAAAAAGGGGATTGCGGGTAGGAATGCAATCCACTTCGGCACTAGGAATGTGGATTGGGAATGCAATCCTTTCAAAAAGGATTTTACCGATGCCTGATGATTGGTCAACGCGTAATAAGCTTCCGCGTCAAACACCATTTTAGGTATATGGAATATAGGATATAATCTTTTTATAAAAAGGTTTAATTTTCTCGGCTGATCATTTTGAGCATAAAAAATAACTAATCCATTGCAAAAGACTAATTTCGGGAAAGTGAACTATTCTCTTCAACTGTTTTCGAGCTATTTTCGGTTTTGTTGAAAAAGGAGGTACCTACCGCCGAGTAGGTACGACGAGACCTGCGCATGCAGGCTGCGCGACACTTAATGACGCCATCGGACTCTTGCAGAGAACACGCGCTCACAACAGATACAAAACGAAACTGAAATTCCTTCTCCAAGCACCCGCACATCGCTGCGTAACAGGCAACAGTCGACCCAGGGCATATCACGGGGCGCGCGTCACCACAGCGCCTCTGGCGGCCGCTGCGGAAAACACCGTCTGCCCGTCCGCCGCCAGGGGGCCGACCATTGGCTCTGTCCAGGAGCGACTGTGGCCCACAGCGCCCGGCACGCTCGCTGGTCGCCGTGCTACTTCCCCCGGCACATCTCGGCAGGCCGGACTCCTCGGGGTTGCGTTCTGGCCGGGTACTGCAGTCAGCACGCGGAATGCAGTGCTCTCACGGCCCGCAGGTCCTCGCCGGTCAGATTAGGCAGTCTAAGGCGCCGCCACGACACCAAACACCACTTCTAGGTCCGCCGGGAGCCCGAGCCGTGCGGTCACGACAGTCACGGCATCGCCGTCCACTGGAGGAGTCCGTCACGACACCACAGTCCACTGGAGGAGTCCGTCACGACACCACAGTCCACTGGAGGAGTCCGTCACGACACCACAGTCCACTGGAGGAGTCCGTCACGACACCACAGTCCACTGGAGGAGTCCCTCAGTCACGACACCACAGTTCACTGGAGGAGTCCGTCAGTCACGACACCACAGTCCACTGGAGAGTGGAGGAGTCCGTCACGACACCACAGTCCACTGGAGGAGTCCGTCAGTCACGACACCCAGTCCACTGGAGGAGTCAGTCAGTCACGACACCACAGTCCACTGGAGGAGTCCGTCAGTCACGACACCACAGTCCACTGGAGGAGTCCGTCACGACACCACAGTCAACTGGAGGAATCCCTCACGACACCACAGTTCACTGGAGGAGTCCGTCAGTCACGACACCACAGTCCACTGGAGGAGTCCGTCACGACACCACAGTCCACTGGAGGAGTCCGTCACGACACCACAGTCCACTGGAGGAGTCCCTCAGTCACGACACCACAGTCCACTGGAGGAGTCCGTCAGTCACGACACCACAGTCCACTGGAGGAGTCCGTCACGACACCACAGTCCACTGGAGGAGTCCGTCACGACACCTCAGTCCACTGGAGGAGTCCGTCAGTCACGACTCCACAGTCCACTGGAGGAGTCCGTCACGACACCACAGTTCACTGGATGAGTCCGTCACGACACCACAGTCCACTGGAGGAGTCCGTCACGACACCACAGTCCACTGGAGGAGACTGTCACGACACCACAGTTCACTGGAGGAGTCCGTCACGACACCACAGTTCACTGGAGGAGTCCACCCGCACAGAGGACGCTACGGTGGCTGCAGTGAATCACTCCAGCATTTTATGCCCTGCAGCCCAGTGAGCCAATGCACCATTTTTTTTTTTCAGGCGTGGAATGTTTCCGTTCTGTTGTGGGCCGTCCTGACGTCGATATTGTCACAGATGTGCGGCTGCGGCGACATCCCGAGTCGAGTCGGGTTAAATCGGCGGCTGTCTCCGGCCTCAGTGGAGCCGCTGTCTTCATCCCCGCTGGAGCCGCTGTGACCGGTCTCTGTGGCCGGCCCCGCTGGAGCCGCTGTGACCGGCCCCGCTGGAGCCGCTGTGACCGGCCCCGCTGGAGCCGCTGTGACCGGCCCCGCTGGAGCCGCTGTGACCGGCCCCGCTGGAGCCGCTGTGACCGGCCCCGCTGGAGCCGCTGTGACCGGTCTCTGTGGCCGGCCCCGCTGGAGCCGCTGTGACCGGTCTCTGTGGCCGGCCCCGCTGGAGCCGCTGTGACCGGCCCCGCTGGAGCCGCTGTGACCGGCCCCGCTGGAGCCGCTGTGACCGGCCCCGCTGGAGCCGCTGTGACCGGCCCCGCTGGAGCCGCTGTGACCGGTCTCTGTGGCCGGCCCCGCTGGAGCCGCTGTGACCGGTCTCTGTGGCCGGCCCCGCTGGAGCCGCTGTGACCGGCCCCGCTGGAGCCGCTGTGACCGGCCCCGCTGGAGCCGCTGTGACCGGCCCCGCTGGAGCCGCTGTGACCGGTCTCTGTGGCCGGCCCCGCTGGAGCCGCTGTGACCGGCCCCGTTGGCGCTGGCTCAGATGCCGTTGTGGCGAGACTTCAGCGGCGCGTATGTGCCGTTCAACATAGCACCTGAAAAGGCCAAGATGTCAGAAGTTGCAGTAAAGGCATTGGTCCCGATAGACGACTTCAGCTCAGTGACATCTTTCCCCATAGATAACAGCGCAAAAGCAGTTACTTGTTAGCATACGGGCGTAAGTAGAAGCCGCAGTCTCTGTTGGAATTACCGATACGCGGCGCGGCGCGGCCGGCACGCCTGACGGAGGGAAGGCTGCTACTATGGACGTCGCACCCCTTGAAGTTGAGACTCCACTTTTGCGATAATTTTTAAATGCGTAACTCTCGCTGACGATATTCTGGCAATGTGTGTTTCAGAACCTGCCGAAACTTTTATTATTAAGGTATTTTGACGCCAAATGATTATGAAAGGTAGGAACTTCTCATTCACTCGTGATGTTAAATTTCACGGACCGAATCTGCTGTTTGGGTAGAGGCACGCGCTCATGGGGCGGAGCCACGTAATGACTTCAGCGCTATGCTTCCTCCGGCGCTCCTTGCCCGGTGACCGGTCACTCGCTTCTCGCGCTCCATCCAGGCTTGATGGTGGGCGGCCGCCAGCTCTGTAGCGTATATACCTACCCACATTAAGACCAGATGGCGCTGGTGGCGGGGCTCGAGTATGGCCGAACGCAAGCCTCTGCCCGAGCCTGAATTGACCTTAGCATTACGAGTGAATAAGAAGTACCTTTCATAATCGTTTGGCGTCAAAATGACTTGTAATAAAAGTTTCGGCAGGTTCTGAAACGCACATTGCCAGGATATCGTCAACGAGAGTTAACGCATTTAAAAGTTATCGCAAAAAGTGGGGTCTCAAGAGGTTTGACGTCCATAGTAGTTGACCTGGGGATGGATGAGGATGTTGGGGAGGAAGGGATGGGAGAGGGCCGAACCGATTTCAGCCGCTGGTTCACCGGTACTTCCTTTCCCGTGTATCGGTACTTTCAAGGGACGCTAGACAAGGCAGCCACTGTATCGCCACTAGAAGAACGCGGACAGCACTATTGTAGACAATAGTTATACCCACAGAGTCAACACTGTATGTACTACAATATACCATAATCAGTGACAATTCTGTACCTACTGTTAGACAAGATACCCACGGACAGAGACAACATTGCAAGCAGCATGTCTACACCATGACCGGCAATACGGCACCATGAACGTCACGAGCCCTGCCGGGACCGAGCAGCTGTGGCCCTGTGGGACCGCGGGACCGCGGGACAGCTGGCCGGGACCGAGCAGCTGACCGGGACAGCTGGCCGGGACCGATCAGCTGACCGGGACCGCGGGACAGCTGGCCGGGACCGCGGGACAGCGGGACAGCTGGCCGGGACTGCGGGACAGCTGGCCGGGACCGCGGGACCGTGGGGCAGCTGGCCGGGACCGCGGGACAGCGCCGAGCGGCGGGCCGGGCCCGATCGGGCGGCCACCGCGCGCCACTGACCGTTGCTGCTGTACATTTCGCGCTTGTGTCGTCCGTACGGTGGGCGGTGGGGCCGCAGCGCCCGGCAGCAGTAGTAGAGCAGCATGTAGAGCACAGCGCCGCCGGCTGCCACCACGGAGCCCATGCAGAGCAGCGCCTCACCCGAGTAGTGCGGCAGCAGGTGGAGCGCCACGCCGGCGCCCAGACCGCGACCTGGGGCACGTACAGGGGCACACAGAGTCACACAGAGTCACACATTGGGTCACACACAGGGGCACACGGGGTCACACATTGGGCCACACACGAGGTCACACACAAAGCCACACACAAAGTCACACATTGGTTCACACACATTGAGTCACACACACAGGGTCACACAGAGTCACACATTGGGCCACACACAGGGTCACACGGGGTCACACACAGAGTCACACATTGGGTCACACACATTGGGTCACGCACAGGGGTCAGAAAGGCCACACACAGGGGTCACACAGGGTCATACACAGGTCACAGGGGCCATTCGGGGTCTTTGACAGGTTGGCATCACGGCATTCGGCAGGTCAGCAGGAGCATCCCATTGTCCGTGAGGGGCGTCGGCTCTGACCGTCTGCATACCGTCCAACGTGCGGCATTTGAGCAGGAGCGACCGGCCAGCGGCCACCGTTTGTTTCTCTGTGGCCCGCCAACTCACCCCACTACCTGCGGATGCATGTTTAGCGGCGAAGGCCGACTGACTTGTGACAAGTGTACCTAATGTGTAAGTATATCGGAGCGGCGGCCCGGGCGCTGAGGGCATACAATGTCATGCAAAGGCTAAGCTCAAGGTCAGGCCAGGTCACCGGAGACGAACTATTGGATAGGATAGGATATGTGCAACATAGATTTTATAGGTCATGTGTAAAAACGTTGTGCCATTTTTACACATTAACCCGCGCCGTGCTGGGGGGGGGCGTTTTTACGCCCCCCCCCCCCCCCTCAGGTTTTTCGCGAATATCTCAAAAACGGCGGCGCGCAGCGCCGCCGTTTTTGGTACACGTGTTCCTACATCATTTCCGCACATGTTGTGAAAATTTCAGACCTAGGCCGTTCAAGGTCAGGTCACCAGGTCACGTCAAGTGACCTTACCTCAGAAAAAGTTCAAAGGCTCGCTATAGCTACACCGACTGAACGATCACTTTGAAACTTTCAGCGATTGATATGAGTAACAGTATGTATAAAATGTATATCTCGGATTTTTGATATCTGTGACCTAAGGTCAGGTCAATTTTGCGACCTCTCCATTATAAGTCAATGGGAGAAAATTGAAATGCGCCTCTTTTGGACGAATATCGTTCAAAACGCTCTCAAACATCGGTTCATAGGTAAACATGACACACTGAATAGGAAAAATGCACCTGTGACCCCTCTGTGTGCCCCTGAGGTCATCTCAGGTCATGAACGGTCGCCAGCAGTTTTTTGGCTATAACTTTTGATAGAGACGTGCTAGAGCGGTGAAAACACGTCAGATGTGTTCAGCTCGACGATACGGATCGACTGATATGCAACATGACCCTTTTCGGTCAGGTCATGACCTTGACCTGAGGTCAAATTTTCAAAATGACCTTTCAAGGTCAACAAATAGTTCATTCGACGCGTCTCGACGAGAGGAACACGATGCTGGCAAAAGTAATGTCATGGCGCTTATGAGTCAAAAGTTATTGACGAAAAAACGTTTTTCGTAAAAACGGCTATTTTTGGAGTTTTTGCCCTCTGGAGGCTAAACCGTTGACCTGAGGTCAAATCTGAGAACATTACTCAGAAAGGTCTGTAAAAGGGCTATCGAATGCGCTTTTCCGCGGCGCTGTAGCTCTATCGGTTCCCGAGATAGCCGTTGGCAGTTTCCAAAATGTTGAAATAGTCAACATTTTACCTTTGGTGACCTCTGGTGACCTGACCTTTGACCTGACCCAAAAAATGACCGAAGTGTTTTCGTCCTTATTTTTGACGCTCTTTCGATTGCCGCTTACCGCGTGTCGCTACGTGGCCCAGGAGCCGAGTTAGACGGGGGGGCGTGAAAACGCCCCCCCCCCCCCAGCACTCGGCGGAAAGTTCAGGCCACCAGCACGGCGCGGGTTAATTATGTCCCAGCTGAATAACAACATATACAACTAAATTTTATATGGTCATTTTACTCCCTAGAAGTAAACAGCCAACAGGCATAGCACGCGTCGTGGAAGGGTTCCTACGCCCAGTGGCGGAGGGGACGAAGGTCGACCCCCCCCCCCCCCCCCCCCCCCAAGAGCTCAGCTCCTATGGGAGACGTGAGACGTCAAACCCCTTGAGACGCCACTTTTTTCTTGCGATAATTTTTAAATGCGTGAACGCTCGTTGACGACGCTCTGGCAATGGCAATGTGTGTTTCAGAACCTGCCGAAACTTTTATTACAAAGGCATTTTGACGCCAAACGATTATGACAGGCACTTCCCATTCACTCGTAATGCTAACGTCAATTCAGGCCCGGGCAGAGGCTTGCGTTCGGCCACACTCGAGCCCCGCCACCAGCGCCATCACGGAGCTTAGCGCTGACGTCATTACGTGGCTCCGCCCCATGAGTGCGTAGCCTTTACCCAAACAGCAGATTGGTTCCGTGAAATTTAACAATACCTACGAGTGAATGAGAAGTACCTTTCATAATCGTTTGGCGTCAAAATACCTTAGTTACGGAGCGAGCGAAGCGAGCGGAGTCTTTCCTTAGATTAACGGAAATTTCTGAGTAGGTATGAGCGGCCGGCCGGCCGGCCGGCCGTGTGGACGCTTTTGCGAGGCTTATATCTCAGCAACCACTTGACCGATTTACATGCGGTAATTTTTGTAGGGTAGCTTCATTCCTTCTACCAAGTATTGGACTATTCCCGATGCATATGGGTGACCCCTTATGCACGTGCCACGTGCAAAACGAAGAGGTGTCAGTTTTGTAATTGTTGCAATATCTCGGTAACTACTTGGCCGATTGCGCTGAAAGTTGGCATGTAGGTAGGCACCCACTAGGCACTGCATATCCATGTGCCAGAGTTGGGGTGCTGCTGCACGTGCGCACGTGCAGGGGTCGATTCCAGATCTCGAGAACGGCTGGACCGATTGCGCTCAAATTTGGTACGCGGTTAGGGACCGGTTAGTAGGGTGCCGTGCAAAAGTCAGTTGGGACCCATGTTGCACGTGCGCACGTGCAGGGTGCCACTTCCAGATCTCGATAACGGCTGGGCCGATTGTGCTCAAATTTGGCACATCGCTAGAGACCGGTTAGTAGGGTGCAGTGCACAAGTCAGTTGGAGGTACCCCTCGAAATTTCGCACGTGCAAGGCCCACCCTCTCGCTCGCTCCGTTAGTCGCCCCATAAGGCGCTATACTGGTAATAAACGTTTCGGCAGGTTCTGAAACGCATATTGCCAGAATATCGCAGGGGTGAAGAATTAGGGGTTTTGGGGGTGCTCGAGCACTCCCTGAAATTCAAAGGTCATCAGATAATAGTGCTCCAGTGGTTGCTTAAATTACGTCTGAGACACAAACTGCTTTGCGTAAGACGCGAGAGACGGCCACTGCTGCAGGATGCAGGTGGGTGATCAGGCGGCTGGACGGGCGGCCCGCCGCGGGTGACCAGGCGGCCCGCCGCGGGTGACCAGGCGGCTGGACGGGCGGCCCGCCGCGGGTGACCAGGCGGCTGGACGGGCGGCCCGCCGCGGGTGACCAGGCGGCTGGACGGGCGGCCCGCCGCGGGTGACCAGGCGGCCCGCCGTGGGTGACCAGGCGGCCCGCCGCGGGTGATCAGGCGGCCCGCGCCCACTCACCGACGCCGAAGTGGGCCACTGTGATGACGGCCTGCGCGGTGGCCTCGGTGGCGGGCCGGCTCTGGCTGGCAGCGAACAGCACTGCTGCCAGCCAGGCCAGGTGCACGGTGAACATCTCCAGCGACTCGGCCACCAGAAACAGCCACGGAACCAGGATGTACGCATAGCCTGCCGACACACAACGCCATACCTGGAGAACTGTACTCCACTGGGGGCGTCCCAGCACCCGCCTGATCCTGTCAAAACCCGTGCCAAATAAAGGAACATACATGTAAAATTTCAAACACTCATAACACGAAACAATGCAAATGTAAAATCGTACCTTCATAATAAAGCCGAATATCTTGCCAAATATATGATAAAAAACGAAACGACTGTTTAGGGCTAGCCCATTATCAAGTCTCTTGACTAAATCAGAGCTGATAACTGATAAGGGGCTACGCACGAAATAGTCTAAGTCATCTCATTTTGTAATAACATGTTTGGCAATATATTCAGCTCTATTATGAGGCTAAGGTCTTGAATCTTTATTTAAGTTGTAACGAGCCTCAAAGAGCGTTTGCTAATAGGTACACAAAAATAGAATGTTTATACAATATTACTTTACTAATCAGTAATCAGTACCAATAACACAACTCTTATTTGTGCAAGACACCTTCTTGCTCAGTGACTACATGAAGAAAGAATGCTGAAAAACTGTTTTCATGTGCTGATGTCCAAACAACCATGTCAGGTCCCGCCAACGAGCATATTATGCTAAGAAAGTACAAAGTTATCCCAGAGCTAACAGATTAGGTACGTGGATAGAGCTGCGTAAGAGCGTTTGGACTTTGGAAAATAACGTGACGTCCTAGATGCCAGCATGAAGCCCTTGGAGAGTTGAGATGGTTGCAGACTTGTAGAGATTAGAGACATCAGCCCCCTGTATCTTTTAGTCAGTGATGTTCCACCCCCGGCTCCGGCACTCAGTGTCAGTGATGTCCCACCCCCGGCTCCGGTACTGTGTCAGTGATGACTCACCCCCGGTCCCCGGCTCCGGCACTCAGTGTCAGTGATGTCCCACCCCCGGTCCCCGGTACTCAGTGTCAGTGATGTCCCACCCCTGGCTCCGGTACCGTGTCAGTGATGTCTCACCCCCGGTCCCCGGCTCCGGCACTCAGTGTCAGTGATGTCCCGCCCCCGGCTCCGATACTGTGTCAGTGATGTCCCACCCCCGGCTCCGGTACTGTGTCAGTGATGTCCCACACCCAGCTCCAGTACTGTGTCAGTGATGTCCCACCCCAGCTCCGGTACTGTGTCAGTGATGTCCCACCCCCGGTCCGCGATACTGTGTCAGTGATGTCTCACCCCGGTCTCCGGTACTGTGTCAGTGATGTCCCACCCCCGGCTCCGGTACTGTGTCAGTGATGTCCCACACCCAGCTCCAGTACTGTGTCAGTGATGTCCCACCCCCGGCTCCGATACTGTGTCAGTGATGTCCCACCCCCGGCTCCGGTACTGTGTCAGTGATGCCCCACCCCCGGCTCCAGTACTGTGTCAGTGATGTCTCACCCCGGTCTCCGGTACTGTGTCAGTGATGTCCCACCTCCGGTCCCTGACTCCGGTACTGTGTCAGTGATGTACCACCCCTGGTCCCCGGCTCCGGTACCGTGTCAGTGATGTCTCACCCCCGGCTCCGGCACTGTCAGTGATGTCCCACCCCCGACTCCGGTACCGTGTCAGTGGTCCCACCCCCGGCTGCGGTACTCAGTGTCAGTGATGTCCCACCCCAGGTCCCAGTACTGTGTCAGTGATGTCTCACCCCCGGTCCCCGGCTCCGGTACTGTGTCAGTGATGTCCCACCCCCGGCTCCGGTACTGTGTCAGTGATGTCCCACCCCCGGTCCCCGGCTTCGGTACTGTGTCAGTGATGTCCCACCCCCGGTCCCCGGTCCGCGGTACTGTGTCAGTGATGCCCCACACCCGGTCCCCGGCTCCGGTACTCAGTGTCAGTGATGTCCCACCCCCGGCTCCGGTACTCAGTGTCAGTGATGTCCCACCCCCGGCTCCGACATTCAGTGTCAGTGATGTCCCACCCCCGGTCCCCGGTACTGTGTCAGTGATGTCCCACCCCTGGCTCCGTTACTGTATCAGTGATGTCTCACCCCGGATCCGGTACTGTGTCAGTGATGTCCCACCCCCGGCTCCAATACTGTGTCAGTAATGTCCCACCCCCGGTCCCCGGCTCCGGCACTCAGTGTCAGTGATGTCCCACCCCCGGCTCCGACACTCAGTGTCAGTGATGTCCCACCCCCGGTCCCCGGTACTCAGTGTCAGTGATGTCTCACCCCGGCTCCGGTACTGTGTCAGTGATGTCCCACCCCGGCTCCAGCACTGTGTCAGTGATGTCCCCCCCCCCGGCTCCGGTACTGTGTCAGTGATATCCCACCCCCGGCCCCCGGCTCCGGTACTCAGTGTCAGTGATGTCCCACCCCCGGTCCCCGGTACTCAGTGTCAGTGATGTCCCACCCCCGGTCCCCGGTACTGTGTCAGTACTCAGTGATGTCCCACCCCCGGTCCGCGGTACTGTGTCAGTGATGTCCCACCCCCGGTCCCCGGCTCCGGTACTGTGTCAGTGATGTCCCACCCCCGGCTCCGACACTCAGTGTCACTGATGTCCCACCCCCGGTCCCCGGTACTCAGTGTCAGTGATGTCTCACCCCGGCTCCGGTACTGTGTCAGTGATGTCCCACCCCGGCTCCCGTACTGTGTCAGTGATGTCCAACCCCCGGTCCCCGGCTCCGGTACTGTGTCAGTGATGTCCCACCCCCGGCTCCGGTACCGTGTCAGTGATGTCTCACCCCGGTCCCCGGTACTGTGTCAGTGATGTCCCACCCCCGGTCCTCGGCTCCGGTACCGTGTCAGTGATGTCCCACCCCCGGTCCCCGGCCTCCGGTACTCAGTGTCAGTGATGTCCCACCCCCGGTCTCCGGCTCCGGTACTGTGTCAGTGATGTCCCACCCCCGGTCCCCGGTACTCAGTGTCAGTGATGTCTCACCCTGGCTCCGGCACCGTGTCAGTGATGTCCCACCCCCGGTCCCCGGTACTGTGTCAGTGATGTCCCACCCCCGGTCCCCGGCTCCGATACTGTGTCAGTGATGTCCCACCCTCGGTCCCAGTACTGTGTCAGTGATGTCCCACCCCGGCTCCCGTACTGTGTCAGTGATGTCCCACCCCCGGTCCCCGGCTCCGGTACCGTGTCAGTGATGTCCCACCCCCGGCTCCGGCACTCAGTATCAGTGATGTCCCACCCCGGCTCCGGCACTCAGTATCAGTGATGTCTCATCCCGGTCCCCGGTACTGTGTCAGTGATGTCCCATCCCCGATCCCCGGCTCCGGTACTGTGTCAGTGATGTCCCACCCCCGGTCCCAGTACTGTGTCAGTGATGTTCCACCCCCGGTCCCGGTACTGTGTCAGTGATGTCCCACCCCCGACTCCGGTACTCAGTGTCAGTGATGTCCCACCCCGGCCCCCGGTACTGTGTCAGTGATGTCCCACCCCGGCTCCAGTACTGTGTCAGTGATGTCCCACCCCCGGCTCCAGTACTGTGTCAGTGATGTCCCAACCCCGGTCCCCGGCTCCGGCACTCAGTGTCAGTGATGTCCCACCCCCGGCTCCGGCACTCAGTGTCAGTGATGTCCCATCCCCGGTCCCCGGTACTCAGTGTCAGTGATGTCTCACCCCGGCTCCGGTACTGTGTCAGTGATGTCCCACCCCCGGCTCCTGTACTCAGTGTCAGTGATGTCCCACCCCCGGTCCCAGTACTCTGTCATTGATGTCCCACCCTCGGCTCCGGTACTGTGTCAGTGATGTCCCACCCCCGGCTCCAGTACTGTGTCAGTGATTGTCCACCCTCGGCTCCGGCACTGTGTCAGTGATGTCCCACCACCGGTCCCAGGTCCCAGTACTGTGTCAGTGATGTCCCACCCCGGCTCCGATACTGTGTCAGTGATGTCCCACCCCTGGCCCCGATACTGTGTCAGTACTCAGTGATGTCCCACCCCCGGTCCGAGGGTACTGTGTCAGTGATGTCCCACCCCCGGTCCCCGGCTCCGGTACTGTGTCAGTGATGTCCCACCCCCGGCTCCGACACTCAGTATCAGTGATGTCTCACCCCGGTCCCCGGTACTGTGTCAGTGATGTCTCACCTCGGTCCCCGGCTCCGGTACTGTGTCAGTGATGTCCCACCCCCGGCTCCGGTACCGTGTCAGTGATGTCTCACCCCGGTCCCCGGTACTGTGTCAGTGATGTCCCACCCCCGGTCCTCGGCTCCGGTACCGTGTCAGTGATGTCCCACCCCCGGTCCCCGGCCTCCGGTACTCAGTGTCAGTGATGTCCCACCCCCGGTCTCCGGCTCCGGTACTGTGTCAGTGATGTCCCACCCCCGGTCCCCGGTACTCAGTGTCAGTGATGTCTCACCCTGGCTCCGGTACCGTGTCAGTGATGTCCCACCCCCGGTCCCCGGCTCCGGTACTGTGTCAGTGATGTCCCACCCCCGGTCCCCGATTCCAGTACTGTGTCAGTGATGTCCCACCCCCGGCTCCAGTACTGTGTCAGTGATGTCCCAACCCCGGTCCCCGGCTCCGGCACTGTGTCAGTGATGTCCCACCCCCGGTCCCCGGCTCCGGTACTGTGTCAGTGATGTCCCACCCCGGCTCCCGTACTGTGTCAGTGATGTCCAACCCCCGGTCCCCGGCTCCGGTACCGTGTCATTGATGTCTCACCCCCGGCTCCGGCACTCAGTATCAGTGATGTCTCACCCCGGTCCCCGGTACTGTGTCAGTGATGTCTCACCTCGGTCCCCGGCTCCGGTACTGTGTCAGTGATGTCCCACCCCCGGCTCCGGTACCGTGTCAGTGATGTCTCACCCCGGTCCCCGGTACTGTGTCAGTGATGTCCCACCCCCGGTCCTCGGCTCCGGTACCGTGTCAGTGATGTCCCACCCCCGGTCCCCGGCCTCCGGTACTCAGTGTCAGTGATGTCCCACCCCCGGTCTCCGGCTCCGGTACTGTGTCAGTGATGTCCCACCCCCGGTCCCCGGTACTCAGTGTCAGTGATGTCTCACCCTGGCTCCGGTACCGTGTCAGTGATGTCCCACCCCCGGTACTGTGTCAGTGATGTCCCACCCCCGGTCCCCGGCTCCGATACTGTGTCAGTGATGTCCCACCCTCGGTCCCAGTACTGTGTCAGTGATGTCCCACCCCGGCTCCCGTACTGTGTCAGTGATGTCCCACCCCCGGTCCCCGGCTCCGGTACCGTGTCAGTGATGTCCCACCCCCGGCTCCGGCACTCAGTATCAGTGATGTCCCACCCCGGCTCCCGTACTGTGTCAGTGATGTCCCACCCCCGGTCCCCGGCTCCGGTACCGTGTCAGTGATGTCCCATCCCCGGCTCCGGCACTCAGTATCAGTGATGTCTCATCCCGGTCCCCGGTACTGTGTCAGTGATGTCCCATCCCCGATCCCCGGCTCCGGTACTGTGTCAGTGATGTCCCACCCCCGGTCCCAGTACTGTGTCAGTGATGTTCCACCCCCGGCTCCAGTACTGTGGGCAGTGATGTCCCATCCCCGGTCCCCGGCTCCGGTACTGTGTCAGTGATGTCCCACCCCCGGCTCCGGTACTCAGTGTCAGTGATGTCCCACCCCGACTCCGGTACTCAGTGTCAGTGATGTCCCACCCGCGGTCCCAGTACTGTGTCAGTGATGTCCCACCCCGGCTCCAGTACTGTGTCAGTGATGTCCCACCCCCGGCTCCAGTACTGTGTCAGTGATGTCCCAACCCCGGTCCCCGGCTCCGGCACTCAGTGTCAGTGATGTCCCACCCCCGGCTCCGGCACTCAGTGTCAGTGATGTCCCATCCCCGGTCCCCGGTACTCAGTGTCAGTGATGTCTCACCCCGGCTCCGGTACTGTGTCAGTGATGTCCCACCCCCGGCTCCTGTACTCAGTGTCAGTGATGTCCCACCCCCGGTCCCAGTACTCTGTCAGTGATGTCCCACCCTCGTCTCCGGTACTGTGTCAGTGATGTCCCACCCCCGGCTCCAGTACTGTGTCAGTGATTGTCCACCCTCGGCTCCGGCACTGTGTCAGTGATGTCCCACCACCGGTCCCAGGTCCCAGTACTGTGTCAGTGATGTCCCACCCCGGCTCCGATACTGTGTCAGTGATGTCCCACCCCTGGCCCCGATACTGTGTCAGTGATGTCCCACCCCCGGCTCCAGTACTGTGTCAGTGATGTCCCACCCCCGGCTCCGGTACTGTGTCAGTGATGTCCCACCCCGGTCCCCGGTTTCGGTACTGTCAGTGATGTCCCACCCCTGGCCCCGATACTGTGTCAGTGATGTCCCACCCCCGGCTCCAGTACTGTGTCAGTGATGTCCCACCCCCGGCTCCGGTACTGTGTCAGTGATGTCCCACCCCCGGCTCCGGTACTGTGTCAGTGATGTCCCACCCCCGGCTCCAGTACTGTGTCAGTGATGTCCCACCCCCGGCTCCAGTACTGTGTCAGTGATGTCCCACCCCCGGCTCCGGTACTGTGTCAGTTATGTCCCACCCCCGGTCCCCGGCTCCGGTACTGTGTCAGTGATGTCCCACCCCTGGCCCCGATACTGTGTCAGTGATGTCCCACCCCCGGCTCCAGTACTGTGTCAGTGATGTCCCACCCCCGGCTCCGGTACTGTGTCAGTGATGTCCCACCCCCGGTCCCCGGCTCCAGTACTGTGTCAGTGATGTCCCACCCCTGGCCCCGATACTGTGTCAGTGATTCCCACCCCCGCCTCCAGTACTGTGTCAGTGATGTCCCACCCCCGGCTCCAGTACTGTGTCAGTGATGTCCCACCCCCGGCTCCAGTACTGTGTCAGTGATGTCCCACCCCGGTCCCCGGTACTGTGTCAGTGATGTCCCACCCCCGGTCCTCGGCTCCGGTACCGTGTCAGTGATGTCCCACCCCTGGCCCCGATACTGTGTCAGTGATGTCCCACCCCGGCTCCAGTACTGTGTCAGTGATGTCCCACCCCCGGCTCCGGTACTGTGTCAGTGATGTCCCACCCCCGGGTCCGGTACTGTGTCAGTGATGTCCCACCCCGGTCCGCGGTACTGTGTCAGTGATGTCCCACCCCTGGCTCCGGCACTGAGTGTCAGTGATGTCCCACCCCGGCTCCAGCACTCAGTGTCAGTGATGTCCCACCCCCGGCTCCGGTACCGTGTCAGTGATGTCCCACCCCCGGCTCCGGCACTGTGTCAGTGATGTCCCACCCCCGGCTCCGGTACTCAGTGTCAGTGATGTCCCACCCCCGGCTCCGGTACTGTGTCAGTGATGTCCCACCCGGCTCCAGTACTGTGTCAGTGATGTCCCACCCCCGGCTCCGGCACTGAGTGTCAGTGATGTCCCACCCCGGCTCCAGCACTCAGTGTCAGTGATGTCTCACCCCGGCTCCGGTACTCAGTGTCAGTGATGTCCCACCCCCGGTCCCCGGCTCCGGTACGTGTCAGTGATGTCCCACCCCCGGTCCCCGGCTCCGGTACTGTGTCAGTGATGTCCCAACCCGGCTCCAGTACTGTGTCAGTGATGTCCCACCCTCGGTCCCGGTACTGTGTCAGTGATGTCCCACCCCCGGTCCCCGGCTCCAGTACTGTGTCAGTGATGTCCCACCCTCGGTCCCGGTACTGTGTCAGTGATGTCCCACCCCGGTCCGCGGTACTGTGTCAGTGATGTCCCACCCCTGGCTCCGGCACTGAGTGTCAGTGATGTCCCACCCCGGCTCCAGCACTCAGTGTCAGTGATGTCCCACCCCCGGCTCCGGTACCGTGTCAGTGATGTCCCACCCCCGGCTCCGGCACTGTGTCAGTGATGTCCCACCCCCGGCTCCGGTACTCAGTGTCAGTGATGTCCCACCCCCGGCTCCGGTACTGTGTCAGTGATGTCCCACCCCGGCTCCAGTACCGTGTCAGTGATGTCCCACCCCGGCTCCGGCACTGTGTCAGTGATGTCCCACCCCCGGCTCCGGTACTCAGTGTCAGTGATGTCCCACCCCCGGCTCCGGTACTGTGTCAGTGATGTCCCACCCCGGCTCCGGTACTCAGTGTCAGGACATCCGGCTCCGGTACTCACTGACGTATCGGACGATGTATATGATGAGCGCGATGATGAAGATGTGGTGGTGGCCGCAGTAGTTGATGAGCGGCTCGGCCCTGGCCAGGAAGGGCAGCAGCAGCGCCGTGCCCGCCGCCAGGCTCAGACCGTTCTGCAGCTGAGAGCCGCCCAGCGCGCTCACGTGATCGTACAGGTACGCCTCCAGGAAACCCCACAGCGTGCCGAGGAGCATCAGCACGCACAGAACGCTGAAAAACTCGAGGTTGCACAGGCTTTTGGCGAGCGGGCGCAGGTAGTCGCGCCGGCCGGTCGGCGCCGGAGGCACCGGCACCACCGAGGCTAGGATCACGCAGATGAGCATCAGCGCGCAGAACACGTAGAAACTGGGCCTGAAGTCAAGGTATTTGAAGAGCTTCTCGTGCACGTCGATCAGGTAGCCGCAGATGGGCGCGAACGTCACGAGTCCGAGCAGGCCGCAGGCGGCCTCCCAGCCGTAGTCGGAGCCGTGCCGGCGGCAGAGCGCCAGCGCGCTGGTGTTCACCAGCACCAGTGCCAGCGGCAGGCACAGCTCGGTGACGGCGCGCAGGCCAAAGTACAGCCAGAAGGTGAGCCGGCCGTCGGGCGGCGGCCGCCGACACCGGCCGGCCGCCCACAGCGGCGGCGCGCCCACGCTCAGCTGGCGCGCGTGGCAGCTGACGTGGCACTGCGGCGGCGCGCGGCACGTCAGCGCGTCGAACGTCTGGTGGCCGCGCGCCAGGTCCACCAGCGGGTAGCTGCACTGGCGCCGCTCGTCAGGCTGCTCCAGCAGGCGCGGCACCGAGCCGTTCACCACCAGGCCGTCGCCGACGTCGGCCACCAGCTCGCACACGGTGTTCTCGCCCGAGGTGAGGCAGAGGTGCGGCAGGCCCGACGGCAGCGGCACGCCGGGCCGGCACGTGAACGCGCACCGCTCCAGGTAGTACTGGCGCGGTCGCGGGTCGCCGAGCCGACACGGCTGCTGGCAGCGCGCCGCGGCCAGCAGGCCGCCCTGGTCGGTGCAGAGGAAGGTGAGCGCCTCCAGCTCGGCGTCGGCCGGCGGCGGCGGCTGCACGGCCGGCACCAGCATCAGGCACGGGTAGGCGGCGGCGCAGAGCAGCAGCGCGCCCACCAGCAGCGGCCGGTACGAGCCGAGCCGGTCGGCCAGCGCGCCGCCCAGCAGCGGGCCGGCGCAGCCCGCCAGCGGCAGCACCGTCTGTAGCCAGCCGAGCTCGGCCGCCGACAGGCCCAGCGTCGACATGTGCAGCGCCACGAACGGCAGCACGCAGCTCACCCCTGCGGGCGACGGGCGGCGCCGGTCAGCGCGCCGCGGCCCGCCAGACACCACACGGCAAACGCAAACAGACGGCACGCCAGACACAGCACGGCAAACGCAAACAGACGGCCGGCCACACACAACACGGCAAACGCAAACAGACGGCAAGCCAGACACAACACGGCAAACGCAAACAGACGGCCGGCCAGCAAACGATCACGTCAAATATTGTCCCGGTTGCCGATGTAATTTCCCTAGCTAAGCATGGCCATGATCAACAAAAACAGCAGTCGTCTGCTGTTCCTTTCCCCAAATGGTCACTTAGCACCTCACCCATCTTAGCATTAACTCAGCACCAGTCGTGAGTGGGTGCGTGTCCGTGGCGTTCAGGGGGACGCACGTGGTAGGTAGCAGTCATTAGGCTAGTCGGAGGGTCCGGTGGCTGCGCCTATTGGCAGGCAATCTTTCTATTGTGTCTTGTTACCGCGATTGTGGCCTATTGGCGAACGGTGCCGTCCCGATCTGTGCGCGGGGGAGCCATCCCCTCCCCCACTCGGCGGCCCGCCGCTCGGCTCACCTCCGTAGAAAGAGAAGAGCATCACTCGCAGCGGCAGCAGCGGCGTCTTGCAGAGCGTCATGGCTGGAGCGGCTCGGCGGCCGGCGGCAGTCGCCGGCTCAGACGCGGCCGCGGCGGCGCGTCACGGGACTGCCAGCACGGAGGGCGGCACGTCACTGGAGGGGGCACGTCACTAGCCCGCGCCCGACTGGGAGTCCTGGATTTCCACGCCCTGCTGGGGGAGGGGAAAGTTGGTGTTTGAACACCCTCCCCCTTCTAACTCGGCTCCTGGGCCTTGTAGCCGATGCGCGGAAGGCGACGTTCGAAAGAGCGTCAAAAATAAAGAAGAAATCACTTCGGTCACTTTTTTGGTCAGGTCAAAGGTCAGGTCACGAGAGGTCATTGAAGGCCAAAATTCGCCGATTTGTAGTTCAGATGTCAACAATTTTCAACAAATCGACGCACAGTTCGGAAACTAATAAAGCTACATCGCCGCGGAAAAGCTCATTTGATAGCCCTATTAACGCTCTTTCTGAATAATTCTCCCGGATTTGGCCTACCGTCAACGGTTTTGCCTGCAGGGGACAAAAACTGCCAAAATAGCCTATTTTTTCGGAAACGGTTTTTCTGCAATAACTTCCGACTCAAACCTTGCACGAACTTTCTTTTACCAGCATCGTGTTCCTCTCGTCAAGACGCGTCGAATGAATGATCAGTTGAACTTGAAAGGTCAACTTGAAAATTTGACCTCAGGTCAACTGACCGGTAAGGGGGGCATTCCACGATAGATCGTACCAGGCCCGTCACCCTCATCTCTCAGATTTTAATGAAAATCCGTCCCAGGGGTAATCATAGGCCCCAAAGACGCCTGGCAAAATATCAGACTTCTCAGATCAAAACTTTTTTAGTTATATTGCATTGCATTTTTTTAACTTCGGTTAGTAACGGTGAGTTAGATGGCCTATAACTCAAGAACGGGTTAAGCTACCAACAAACAGTCAACAACACTAAGCTTGCGATGAATCAAAAATTAATATTACCATTTAAAAATTCCAATGAAAAATTTTCATTGTTGAGCAAAAACCTTAATCTTTTTTCATTTGCCTCTAATGACCTTTGGGACCAAAATTTTTCAAATTTTTATTTTTTTCAAAATAAACTTCATGTCATTGCAAATCGACATGCAAAAAATTAGAAAGGTGTTCTTTCTATAAAATCCTCATTTTCCCGCAAACAAAATGGGGTTCGGAGGGGTTGATACGACCCCAGCACGCCGTTTCGCTTCTAATAGAGCTAGAGCCTCGCGGAAAAAACGAGCGTGTGTGCCGCAACAAGTCGCAGCGATTGGTACCCGATTTTAAGGTCTCAATCTAACCGGTAGCGTCTGAGGTCAGGTCAAGTGACTAAAGTTACGGGTTCGGTTTTTAGTAAATAACTTCGCAAAAAATGGCCGCAGAGCCGCGATTTTGGCATCATTGTGTTCACCTAGCTCAGGTGCATCGAATGGTATACTTTTTGCTAGGGTGAGGTCAACTTAAGCAGTTGACCTCGGATCAAGGTCAGGTCAGAGCCCCTCAGGTCACGAAGCTGGGCAAAGGGTATCATATGGCATATCATTCGATTCGGAAGGTCTCCCCGAGTCCATTGGTGGCTTTCCCGACTCTCTAGCTCCATTTGATCGGGAGTTATTGACGAAAAACTCGTACGACCCTAGTGACGTCATAAATGACGTCACGCAAGGTTACCAATGCAAAAGAAAAGCATTGGACTTTGCAAGAAGTGCATGAAATCACGATACCATGTACGTGGGATAGTTTTAGATCATTCTCGGCGCCAAAATAACAGTTTTTATATTTCCCCATTGGCTTATAACAGTGATGTCACGTGACCGACCTGACCTCACGTAACCTTAAAAATTCCCAGATATACAAGTTGTGAGACCTCTGGAGGACACCATGTATGAGTCCTGTAACTTTCATCTCGGACAGCTATGGTCGTTAGCGTCCAAAACAATGTCAGAACCAAACAGCCTTTTTCACCCTCGCGCTTATAGGAAAGAGGGTTGGATGAACCCTCTTTTCACTTTTTTTCAGATGACTTAGACTTTAATTGAAATTTCAGTAACCCGTGATGTCACTAGTCAGCTTTACCACGCCATTTGTAAGCTCCCCTCCCGAAATTACTATTCGAAACCGTTATCTTAACGTAAAATAAATATATTTATAGAAAGAACACCTTCCTAATTTTTTGCATACTTCTTAACAATGAGCCAAATATTTTTTTAAAGAAATGAAAAATTAAAAAAATTTGGTCCCAAAGTCCAAAAAATACAAATAAAAGAAAACTCGATATGTCATATATCAAAAGCGAAGTTTTCGAAATTTCAAAAATACATATTAATCTCTGTTTCATTGCAAGTTCAATGTTATATAACATTTGGCATTTGAATAATCCGTCTTAGAGTTACAGCCCGCCAAACTTAGCGCTGCAAAGCAAGATACAAAAAATGTGATACACCATAACTCAAAAAATACTTATCTGATAAGCCTGAAATTGTTACAGGTGGATTCAGAGCCCCTGATTACCCCTGAGACCAATTCTCGTCAAATTCCGAGAGATGAGGGTGTCAAATGGGAAAAAAGTGGTATGATCTATCGTGGAATGCCCCAAGGGTCAAGTTGCATATCAGTCGATGCGTATCGTCGAGCCAAACACAACTAAGGTGTTTTCATCACTCTAGCATGCCTCTATCAAAAGTTGTTCGCGAAAAACAGTCAGATAGGTACCATTGGCGGCCTGAGATGACCTCGGGGGCATAAATAGGGGTCACGGGCAGTGGCGCAGCCAGGGGGGGTCAGAGGGTCAGCTGACCCCCCCCGAAATTTCTGTCAGGGGCCCGCTCGAGAAAGAGAGAGAGAGAGAGAGA